TACTAGGCTTAGCTCTATCCCTATCCATAGTTCATCAAAATCAATTATAAATAGCACTTATCAAATAGAAGGGCCGCGCCATAGCTCAAGCGGTTAGTCGCTGGCTTCCCACGGCGGGGCGGCCCGGGTTCGATCCCGCGTCTGGTCAAGTGGGATTTGTGGTGGACAAATTGGCGTTGGGGCAGGTTTTCTCCGAGCACTTCGGTTTCCCCTGCCAATCTTCATTTCACCAATTGCTCCACAATCACCCTCATCTATCATCTGGGGCTGGTACAATAGGCCAGAAGTGACCGCAGTACAAGGGACTTAGTCCCACCCCACTAGCAATAAAAAAATATCAAATAGAAACAACAGTACATAAAAAAACAAACTTCATGAAAACACGAGAAAATGTTCGACCCATCAGATTTTAGTGAGGTTATGTTTCTAGGCACACCACACCACGTGGATCCTGTTGGACATAATTGTGCACATTAAATTCAGAAAGAAAAAATATAACAGTTAATGAATTTAAATTCTTGACAACACAATGACCAATTTCTACAAACTCCCAACAATAGATAAATCACAAAATAAAGGCAAAAACAATTGAAAGGGACTTCGCTAGCAAACTTTGAAACACAAGCAGCCAAGACTTCTGAAGAACCCAGCAACACAAATTTGATAACCACTAAGTACTTCACTGTTCCGGCTTTCGGGCGTCACGTAACAATATTGGTTTGATGATGGAAAGCAGGGAGATGTGTGAGTGCAGGACCGGTGGGTAGATGAGCTGTGGACTCATTTTACAACGAGTCTCACGTGTGTGTGTGAAGACTACGCGTAAGAGATAGCTCTGAACCCTGTGACGCGCGCTCAGTTGCAGAGGAACTCCGTTTAACCCACGGCACGCCACTCCCAGACGCGCTATGCCACGTGGGGTATGTCTGACCGCCCAAAAATATATTGTGACGAACATGACCATTGCTAGGCAACGGTTCAGTGAACACAGCTTGAAAGCCGGAATAGCAACGAAGATAAGCGGAAGTCCATTTGCTAGGCAACGGTTCGGTACACACATTCCCGCGACAAGGGAGAATGACAACTGTTCGAGGAGGTGGTCTCTATTCGTTCTCCCGAAGTTATAAATGGTGGACACTTGACAACGCTCAGCAGAATTCATTCGCAAGGGATTCAACGTTCGTCATTCGTCGCAGTGCAAGAGAAGACACTCGTAGTCCAGTAAGGAATGGAGCGAGTCTTACACAGTCGTTGGGTATGAGCTGTTATACCTGGTTGCAATTGTAATAGAAATGTCCAGTAAATCCAGAACCCATTACTTTTCGTCATGACAACCCCTAATACGTGACAGTATTATCACCCGTTGTTACGTGCTGGAGTGCCGCGCCACACGCGAGGAAGGGGCTTCACACGCCAGCTAGTGCGTTTGCACTGCGCGAAGTATTACTGTAACTTCCACTTAACACATTTTATTTGACAGAACTGCTGACTGGCGATATCGACGCCGTTATGTATGCGAGAAATGAGGCCTGGGGATGGAGCCCGAGGAAGTTTCAGTTGTCCCCAAAACATGTTCCTGTTCAGTTTCCCCGTACATACTTTCTGCTTGTGTCTAGCAGTCGGAGTGATGACGCTGCCTTATTCCTGGAAGTGTCAGAGGCCTGCTGACCTACCGCCAGAGGCGAAAGAGGCAGCAAGTAAAGTGTTCAGCGCTGTCAGCATCCCACCGGAGTTACTTTCGTCTGTGTACCGGGCCGACCTGATGAATGAGTTGACCAGTTTTAAACTTCGCGTGAATATCAAATACGAGCTTAGGGAATATGCCGCCGGACATGGCTGGTTAGCATCAGCTGTATCAATGCAGGAAACAAAAGGTAAAGTTGTCCCTGTGCTTAACTAAGCATTACGCCTTGAAGGCGTATGGGGGAGAGAATGTATAGATCCACATTTTCTTGACCTCGGCACTAGCTGGAGGTGAGTGGTCAGCTTCAGGCCCAGGTCGCCTTACCCCTGGGAAAGAGCCCCCGGTACCAATTGCATAGGATGTTGAGTGAGCCCCAGAACCGGTCTGGATTATATGGAGGAGAAGCGAAAATTCTTGACCCACCGGGACTCGAACTCCGACCTCTCGGTCGTCCAGCCCGTAGCCAGTCGCTATACTGACTGTGCTATCCCGTATCCATGTAGGAAACAGATGCTGAGCGAAATAAATCCTCATAATGCTGGCATTCATTGCAGGTGTAATAACAAATCAAAGAGCACAGAAAGTGAAAGAGTGTATTATGTGACAGGTCAGTGCCTGAAGGACAATATGAAGAAGGCAAAAAGGAGGGACACACACAACAATCGAAATAATACCCAGTGAAAACTGAGAGGAAGCATCACCGTTTAAACTTCTGCATAAGTCAATATGAAACTAAAGTAAAAAAAAAAAAAAATGTGCAAACGAAGACAAGAAGTAAAAACCCACACAGACTCACACAATTTAAAATATTTTAGTGAATCATACATAAAACTTTTGAAAACTTCAACTAATGTTTCGAATCCTACAAGACAGCTGAAAGTAGCCGATACATGTAAGTGGAGTACATGTGAAAATCAGCTCTGCAGTTCGACAAATAATTTTCGAACCAAACGCTAAACTGCAAAGACACACATTCAAATGTTTTCTTCTGCTCTCGAGTAGCGTTACGTCTTATAATTTACTGTACGTGGAGGAGCCTCAAACTTGTCAACATCTATAATTTTCGCTTTAAACATTTTCCCGCTTTTAAGACACTGTGGAGATTGCAGAATAGCCGTGCGTTGTGAACTACGCTCTTAACTTCACGTTAGCTGCCTCTGGTTTTGTTTACATGCGCTTCAGCAACAAACACACTGCCTCTGGTCTTGTTACATGCGCTTCAGCAACAAACACACTGCCTCTGGTCTTGTTACATGCGCTTCAGCAACCAACACACTGCCTCTGGTCTTGTTACATGCGCTTCAGCAACAAACACACTGCCTCTGGTTTTGTTTACATGCGCTTCAGCAACAAACACACTGCCTCTCGTCTTGTTACATGCGCTTCAGCAACCAACACACTGCCTCTGGTCTTGTTACATGCGCTTCAGCAACCAACACACTGCCTCTGGTCTTGTTACATGCGCTTCAGCAACAACCACACTGCCTCTGGTTTTGTTTACATGCGCTTCAGCAACAAACACACTGCCTCTCGTCTTGTTACATGCGCTTCAGCAACCAAACACAAATTAAAACAAGTTTGACCCCTCTATTTTGGAGTAGATCTGGAACATAGCTGGCTTGTTTCTTAATTCCTTTGACCTTTAAATACAATAATTTAAAGAAGAAATATTTCACCTCGTTTAACTTAAAAAAACTTTGTATTTTGCTACATTTGATTCGCACAATAAACAGCGATTACTTCCCTAAACATTATTTTTTTTTAATTCGCTTAGTGGGGGGTGGAGTCCAACTGGGTCTATTCGGCACGGCGGCCACTGATTGTCCTATTGTAGCCTACCCCGGGTGATTATGATGATGGAGAATTTGGTGGAATGAAGATTGGCAGGGGAAACCGAAGTACTCCGAGAAAACCCGCCCCAGCGCCACTTTGTCCAGCAAAAATCTAAACAACATTAAGTAGCTGGCCTTTGTGTTTGACATGCAATGTGTTTTCTGTGAGGTAGGAACAGAAATTTAGATATTATATGGTTGACCTTGGTAATCAAGACACAGATTTTATTAGTGTTCTGTCTTCAAGCAAATGCAATGATGGTTCCAAAGTACCACGTTTCTACTGTGTGCTCTCCTAATTTAAACTAATCAAAATTAAACTCAATCACCTTAAGGGAAAACAAAATGTCTTCGAATTATGCAACTGACAGTTATTATCATAAATTCGAACTCCGTGACCCTTGGCTCAAGCCAATACTTCTAACCATTCTAACATCTTCATTTTCATACTACTTTTACTCTGAAGGAAGAGTGGGCGCTGCCTGAGGACTTCACACTAATCTGATGTCCTTCACCCCTCCCCCCCAAATGAACTGTATCACACTTCTCCTATGATCTTCTCTTTCACTTGCTCTTATACTATTTTTCATTTGTACGTTTAAGCTTTAAAACTGCAGCTGGCTACTGTCAGGATGACTCGGATTAGGAGGCATGTGGAATTCGCTTGTGCAATGTTGCATTCTGTCAAGATGAAGGAAGTCACTTTACTTTTGGACATTGAAGATACCTTGGATTGTACAGCGGCTCGTTCAAAGGTCCCAACTTGCACAAAAAGGCACAGAAAGACGCGCATAAATGCGAAAGCCTGAAACGGAATTCGAATCAGACCCTAGAATTCGAACGCTCGAAAACCTCTCAGTCAGTAGGGCCGCAATTTCAGCACGATATATTGTTTTATGTGTTGGGATTTATAATTTTCAAACAAACCGCTTTGGGTTCGATCAGTTTGGATTCTTGGCCATTAAGAATAAAATCATTGCGTTTGATCTCATTGCAACTGTACGCGACGCCGAAGACAGCAAGCCAGTGTAATAAAAGGACGCTGCCGAACGACGCCGACCGAAACTAAGACATTAAAGGAAAAGCACTCGTATCACTTTCCTATCTCCTTTTGCTTATCCCTTTCGTACTTTATCTTATTCCCTCCTTTCTCCCATATTCCTTTCTTTGTCTGTCCTACTTCCGATCTGTGGTTCGTTAAAAGAGTGAATTAAGTTGCAGTTTATCGTTAGAAGTTCCGGCTGTCTATACAGGCCTATGTGAGTACTACAGTGCTATTAGCAGCATAATACATACGTCATTCATAAACCGTGTTCTATTCTTTTGTTATATTTTGGTGACTACAATCAATCAAAATATCCGTCTGGTCATTAGACAGTTTTACGGTCGATGACAATTCGTTTTAGTTAGTACCGAATTGTTCTCCATGACATTAGCATTCATATTTGTCGCCGGTGAACAGTGTGTTCCTCTAACCTACATACCTTTAAGTTCTTAAAGACGGTTTCTTCCGCTTTGTTCTCCTTGGCTTTCTCTCGACACACCTGAAAAATGAATGTGCATCCTCCTTAGACATTGAATGAAAAACGTCACAGACAGCTACGTGTACCCAGGGAGCCAGTTTCGTGCTTATAAAAATAAAATTTTGAAGGGCACCTGTCAGTTTTTCTGATTTGTCCTTTTGTCCTCTCGCAAGTAACAGCGCCCAGATTGTTGGACAGAACTGGATGGAATACGACGGTTTATTTGCTTTAGAACGTGCCAGTAGGGAGGCCCCAAAAAATCAGGTGGGATGAAGTTGAACGGGACACGTCAGCTCCAGGTCTATGTTAATCTAGGGGAGGGATCATAGATACCGCAGAAACTCTAACTGACGCTAGTAAAGAGGTTGGTCTAGAAGCAAATGCAAAGAAAACTAAGCACATGTTGCTGTCTCATCACCAGAGTGCAGGGCAAAATCATAACATAAATATAGTCAGCAGATCCTTTGAAGCTGTAGAACAGTTCAGATATTTGGGAACGACACTAAACTACCAAAACCTGATTCAGGAGGAAATTAAGGGGAGACTGAGTTCGGGTAATGCTAGCTACCATTCAGCCCAGAACCTTTTGTATTCTCGTCTGTTGTCCAAAAACATAAAATTAAAATATACAAAACTATAATTTTGCTTCTGGTTCTGTATGGGTGTGAAACTTGGTCTCTGACATTAAGGGAGGAACATAGACTGAGGGTGTTTGAGAACAGGGTGTTGAGGACAATATTTGGACTGAAGACAGATGAAGTGACAGGAGGTTGGAGAAAAGTGCATAATGAGGAGCTTCATAACTTGTACTCTTCGCCAAGTATAATTAGAATGATGAAGGCGCATGAGATGGACAGGGCATGTAGCACAAATGGCGACTTTGGTGGGAAAGCCAGTAGGAAGCAGACCAATAGGAAGATCAAGATGTAGATGGAACGATAATATTAAAATGGATCTCAGAGGAATAGGTTTGGGTGGTGTGGAGTGAATTGGTCTGGCTCAGGATAGGGACCAGTGGAGGGCTCTTTTTAACACGGTAATGAACCTTCGGGTTCCGTAAAACATTAGGAAATTCTTGAGTAGCTGAGCGATTGGCGGGTTCTCAAGAAAGACTCCACTGGTCCCTGTCCTGAGCCAGATTAATTCACTGCATACCACCCACCACCACAACGTGAGCTCTCATGCTGCAATCCAGTAATTAATGTGTCAATTGGAAACACCTGAAAATGACCCTTTAGGGGTCGAAACATGTAGTGTAACCCAAATGAATTAGAAAGTGTTGCGCTGACGGCTGAATTTGTATTATTAGTTGTGCTTTGAACTTCAAATAACATACTAAGACTCCTAAGCAACATTTATAAGCAACTGCTGAGTACTGTCCAAACACTAAACAACGCGCTGGAAAAGCAGGATTACTTATGATCTCGTACCTGGACTGTGCGACAACTGAGAACAAAGTTTTGAAGAAAAATCTGAACCCAGGAACGATGAAGGACATTACATTGAGCGGAACGTCATAATTTGAAATATTCATCTCACTCTGTTGGGTGATATAAATGAAATGGGGTGTGGTGGCGGCACCTATAGCACATTCAAGAAAGTCATGCTAAAGTTCAGCCGGAAAACCAGTTACACGTTGTAATTAAAAAAAAAACACTGTAGTTTATACATAGGTCGTCACCGCTTGTGTATTTCCTTAAGAAACACGTGACGGTGGCCTCTCTAGGACGAAATCTGTTGTGAACTGATAAATAGTGAGCATTTATTTGTTTGTGTGACGGTAACCCCTCCATTTTATTTGTAAGCACCACAAAAGGGATGCAACACTAAAACGAAGTTTTTAAAGGCCGTACACGTAATTTCAAGCCGGACAGCTCTCCTCATATGCACCATGGAGTTAAGGAATTTCTCAATCACTGTATGAGGAAGAGCCACGGAGAGTCTCCCAAAGGCTGTGGCCCTACACGGGATCCGGGGCGTGTTCAGACGTGACTCAAATACCAGTCAGTTCCGGAAGCAGGCCACTTCTCGGCTTTTCATTGGGTCAGGGTCGGGCGTTTCAGATTTGTCATTGCCCAAGACTGCTTTCACGTCACACCGCGTCCTGATAACCGGTGCACTTGTTATTGGACGATGCTCTATCGACTGCTTCAGCAGCGCGAACTCGGAATTCAGACGTAACTTTTAATTTAATGAGCGCCTTTCGAGCAGACGTGTTCAATGACAGGACAATAATCAGTGTTGTGTCAAGGTGGAGCTATCCTCATGACCCCTGATTAATCCGAGATGTACGAGGATATATCACCGCTTCTCGAGTTGTCTTGTTGAAAGTCAACCGACGTTTAGGAGGCACATTCTACGTGCTTCATGATAGTCTCTTGCTTGTATTATTCTTCTACCCTGAAGATGGAGGCGACATGTTCCTGTAAAACGTATGCGGACTATACGGCGCTATTTCCCAGAAGACAGAATTCTTCTTAACCACCGCTGTGAGAACCTCTATTCCCAAATCACTGCTTCTGAATTTGAGCCCTCGCGTTTCACGTTTTGATGTCTAAAAGAACTGGCTTATTGTTATACAACAGAGAGAGTGCAGCAGAAAAATGAGAATTTCTTTAGCTGTAAAAATGAACGCCTCTGCAGATATGAATGAAAGTCAATGCGGTGTGCAGAATAAGCCTGAGCATGCGTACAAGAGCATTCCTTTAGTTACAAAGAAACACGTTTCCCACTGTTATTATTAGATATCGCAATTTTATTCAGAATTGAGTCATAATTATTTAATTATGTCTTGGATTAAGGCTGATCGGGAATTATCTTGTTATATGAGAGGCCACAACTTACAGAAAACAGAGAGAACCATTACAGTCCTTGGAGTTACTTCACAAAGAAATAAAAGTATGTGTGTTGTCTCATCGCTAAAAGAAAAATGCAGAAAGCTTCTATTTTTCAGCTGCCTTTAAAATACAGAGTGACGCGAAAAACCGACATTTGAAAGGCGCTAAAATGGACGGCTCAGTTAGTTTGAATGAATTTCATATAATTTGGTAGGATATACGCAAGTTCGTATATTAAAAGATGTATTCAGTTCGGTCGACCCGTTAAGCAGAAAAATATTTTATATCTTTATTTTTGGATATAGGCATTTTTACTTTCATATTATGCGATATTTTAAAGTCCTGAATGACGCTCTAGGTGAATTAATAACATCCACGGAATGTGCACAAAATTCTTCAGGCATTAATCCGTTCTGTTTCTATGTTTGGACACGCTTCGAGCAACTCTTCTGTTGTTTTAATGGCGGTCGCCTAGCGATAAGACTGGGTGTCGTTTCCGCGAGAACTTGTTTACGACCGTTCCCAAGCAACGCATGTTCATTCTCGCGATCGTTGCATAGCAATGGTACCTCACGTTAAAATATATTTTGGCATGTAGACCCGTTGCTAGGCAAAGACCGCGAAATGAACAACTACGCAACGCCTCCTAAACAGCAAGAGAGAAACGGTCTTTTCGGTTTCGACATGTTATAACCAGGCCAGTTAGCGAGGCGTTAGTCAGTCAGTCAGTCAGTCAGTCAGTGGAGTTGAATGAGTTGGTTGGTAAATGAGTCAGAGAACTGCCGAGGTTCATTTGTTGTGAGCTGCTGCTGTTAGAAGCTGGTAGCTGAGGCCGAGGGACAGTTCGGGAACGCTGAGGAAGAGGAACGTCAGCCGTTGGAAGTCGTTACCAGAGGATGGTGAAGACACGGCAGGCTGAGAAGACTTAAGTGTGTGTTGTAGTGAGCTGTAAAGTGTGTGAATTAGTGATATCGGTATAATTACTTGCAATCAAGGATCTGTAAGCGTTCAATAAATCCAATTACCAATCCAAACGCCGTTACAATTTGTATTACTATGGTATCCATTTTGTTACGGAGTTTGATACGTTCCTGCACGTACACTTTGCAGGACAAATTAAGTTTGATTCAAGTACAAATCTGTTTGCTGATGTACCGTGATATAATGGTGTAATACTTGATTCACCTTGCAGGGACGCACCAATCCTGGCGCAGCCACCAACATGCGACTGTCTCTCGTGTTTGAGCTTCTGCTCATATTCATCTTGCTGGCCTTCGCAGCCTCCAGAGTGATCAGTAAGTATGGCACTTCGACTCACACGATGCTCTCATACGTGTAGCAACGGCATGAAAACTCCTGAAACTGTATTTCCGTTGCAGAATCTCCGCCCCTGGTTGAGGGGAATCCCGCTCGCCAAGGCCAACCGAACCGCTATTGCGCGTGCACCAACTTGATGTGCAACTGCTGTCGAGAGTTCTCTCTAGCTGTAGTGCCCATCAAAGGACCTGGTGAGCTCAATTTTACAAGTCTAGACCTACACACCAATGCCGGCACCATCTACGAGTATAGGCAGGTTTCGAAACTTAAATTGAATAGATCATGCAGGATTTATGACTGTAAAATAAATGAAAGAAAATACGTCATCGATCACAATGTTCTCGAAGTGGTTTCAAAACCTGCAAATGAAAAAGCAATCATGAATTAGGGCCATAAGTATTTACACATAAGCATTCTTCGAAAGGCGAGCATCCACGAATGTATAACGGGGAGGCCGCGCTGTTCTTCAGCACTGTAATGGTTTATATAAGTTTTGTCTATAATACAATGGTTGAACGAAATTTATTTTGGGCCCTGTCGGTCCAGTGTAGCCTCCATTTCACATGAAGCTCAAAACTAACTCCATCGACTTAAGAAAATAATTCATTGAACACAAATTTGTACACACCGTAAAAAAGTCACATTTGAACACTTTCTCGATAAGTTAGTATTAAATGAAGTACAAGGGAAAATATTTATGACTCTATACACTTGATATCTGCCGTGGACTTACCGGAGCGACAGATTGCACCAAATGAAGATCGGCGAAGCTTTAAAATTTGTGTAACTTCTCTGTTGTTGACTAAAATTACTGGTACATAAAACTTTCAAATATCATTGTACAAAACTGGAGATTTCATTTGCTGCCAATGGCAACACTGAACTGAATAGCAAGAGAGTGTCGTATACGACGGATCAGAAGCTGTTTGTTCACGGCACGTAAAAGATCCTCATGTCTCTAGGAGACCTCTGAGCAAAATTAGGCAACAAGTTTCCCGCCCAAGTAGTTTCCAATGCCTCTGGTAGATTGGGGAAATACCAGGTACCGACGGCCGACCTCGTCGGCTGAACGGGGCTGATAGCACGCACCAGTACCGGTAGGGTATGGCGACAGGAGAAATTAAAGGGGGACGCACAATGGACCAATAACTGGTTTAAGTGCATGGGGAAACCCACCCCCTCTAATAATAATAATAATACCTCAACCCCTTACTACACTTGCGGTCTTGTGGTGCTGTCTAGAGATAATATCTTTGAGACATATATGTTCCTGCTGCACCATCAAGAAACACTGTCTATCGGATTGCTGAACAGTCTGAAGGAGCAGGAAGTGTGTATTATAAAAGCAAAGCATACTTGTTAGCACGGAGAATTTTATGTTCATCATGGGAGTCAGTAACAAGATGTTCAAGAAGAAGTGTGTGACTTCCAGCACAGCAAACAAAACCTATCGTGATGACTTTTCGCTGATTCCTTTCAAAATTCACTGTCAGCCACTGCTGGAGGATGCAATAGCGGGACGTTACGCAACAGAGCGCTGCTAGATGACAGTCTGGGATGTTTGGAATGTAACGTGGTTCTCCGAAGAAGCACGCTTCCACCGCACAACATAGCACAGAGACGCACAAAAACGGTCAGAAGCGTGGAAGATTATCACGACAAACACATTCTGACCCGTCTTGTTTCTCAGTTCAGTATAGCTAATGGCAACAAACACATTTCCGAAATGTGTATAGCCGTCTGTGGAAAGTTCATACAGTTGCGCTCAATAAGAAACGTTATGTAAAGTGCTCGATGATAAAGAACACGCCCGTTTCTCACGGCCACGCAATGAAGAGGTGTGGGGGGGGGGAGCGAAGGTATTCTTACGTCCCGGTAGATTGATCATCAAGAAAGAGCCTCTGTACCCATTTGATGGAAGGATGGGTACACAAGTACACGTATTTGCTACAACAGAAACATTAATTTACGTACATGCTTCGTATTCTGGACTGAGATCTCGGCCCTCATACTTTCCTTCTTCCAGGCAAATGGCCGGGTAGTACCTGAAATCAAGCCCCGACGGATTCCTTCAACATCCTTCCTAATGCATTAATCATTCTCGTCCTACCTTTAGAGTCTGTGAGAGTGCCAACAGTGGAAAATAATCCATAAATCGTCTAACACATGCACACGAGGGTGGCCTCTGACCGCATTATGTCATGTGTCTGCAGGATGTGCCACCTTGACCTACCTCTCAGGGGACTCGCTGATGGTTACGATGAGTTTCGGGGACCGAGTGCTACATAACACAACTATAACCGGTAAGCCCGCTGCCAACTGACTATGTAAGCAAGGATACAGGTCGTAACAGTGAACCATACTTTAAGATCTACAACAAATGTAAAGGTAATTTGGTTTTTATTGTTATTCTTATGAGGATGATCTCAATGGGTCGAAACATGTACGGATATACACCTGATTTGATCCATTTAGTAAGTAAATTTGTCGGCCGCACCATAGCTCAGGCGGTCAGTCTGGTCATGTGGGATTTGTGGCGGACAAAGTGGCGCTGAGGCAGGTTTTCTCAGAGTACTTCGGTTTCCCCTGCCAATCTTCATTCCACCATTGCTCCACAATCACCATCATCTATCATCTGAGACTGGTACAACAGGCCAGTAGTGGCCGCAGTGGCAAGTGCATTCAGTCTCAGTGCACTAAGAATAACAAAAAAAATAAAAAAGTAATGTTGTCCCTGTGCTTAACTGATTAAACACTATGCTATGAAGGCGTATGGAGTAGTGGACGTATAGATCCACATTTTCTTGATGTAGATGAGTGGTCAGCTTGACGCCACTGCCGCCACTATCGAGAGCAATGGATAAACTGAAAATGCCAGCGGAGGACTGTGGTCGCAATGGTACTCACGTTAAGGGAACAGCATTCAGACGCTGGGGAGTGTAATATAAATCAGTGCTGTCCAACGTTCTTATGTAATGTACTCGGGCACAATTCACTGATGCCTATGGAGGTGCGGGCGCCACCACACACTACTACTACTACTACTACTACTACTACTACTACTACTACTACTACTACTACTAGTACTACTACTGATGATAATAATAATAATAATAATAATAACAATAATAATAATAAACAACAATAATAAAAATAATAATAAAATTTTTCGAAAATATTTAACAGTACTCGGACGTTCAAAAATGTCTCTTGTCTTATAATTTGAATTAATATTAAAAATCGGCTCAATTATATGTGATTACGGAGGGCGCCAGAAAAATATACCACGGGCGCCGCGTTGGCCAGGGCTGATATTAATCCTTTGGAACACTTTGGTATGCAACTGGAATGGCAATAAAGGCCCTTTTCAGTCTGTAGAAAAACTAATTTTATATAAAATATGGGTAATTGCTTTTGCGTAACCACCTAAGTTTAGTTACGTTTCTTGTGCGCAGGCTCCAGGTCATCAAGGCATAGGGAGACTTAAAATAGTTTTACTCCTAATCTTGATGGTAGATGTAAGTGGCAACATTCATGCTCCAGCCGCTTTGCCCCATGGAAGGAGCTGGACGGTGGCGAGGAAAGAAATCCCAGCGCGTCACCTTTTACTGACTGAGCTATCCCGTGTCGTATCTAAGTTGTGAGATGAATTTAGTATTTGTCGCATCTTTGCTGCTGCAGGGAGGAAGCCCAAGCCTGTCTGTATGCCTCTGCCTGGCGGCATCTCTAAGTTCTGCGGGCGTGTGTACGGCATCTCGCGCGAGGGACAGAACTTCAAGGCATGTCTTGGTCTCGAGCTGCGAGCCCTCGACGACCTGGAAGCTGCTCTCCGGGTCTCCTGCTTCCGGTTTGGGCCTCAGGGTTTGAACTTGGAGGCGGCACCTCCGATCCCTGCGACTGAAGCTACTGAAGACGACGACGACGACGACGATGATGATGAATATGGTATAGTCGATGACGATGACGACGACGACGACGACGATGATGACGACTTCGGAATTGTCGACGACGACGATGATGATGATGATGACGACGACGACGCCGACGACGCATCTGAGAATGACGTTTCCCCGGATTATGAAGGATTTAGTGTTTTCGGAGGCGATTTCTTGGGCGGTCTCTTTGGTGACAGTAACAAGAAAAAGAAACCCACGAACGTTAGCAAACCTCGGCCTGTTCTTCGACCGCTGAAGGCGACTTCAGAGACGCCGATTCTTAATCCCACCCCGAGACCAGCGAAGCCCACAGCAAAGCCCACAGCGAAACCAGTGAGGGTGCGCACGACAGCGAAACCAGCCCGCAGACCCACTCCCACAACAAGGAAACCCCCTCACAGATTTACCAGGACCACGACAAGCACCACCACACCTAAACCTGTGACGAAACTTCCAGAAGTGCCAGTCACAGTGAGCGCTGAAGAAGAACATGCTACATCGACTGCTATCACAATTACGGTGGTGCAGGATAATGAAGCAGAGACTGTGCTGCCAGATACGTCAAGTGACATCATGGCTCAGGGCGAAGCAGAGAAATCAGAAGCCACTACTGTGGGTGAGATTCAGACAACACTGGTCCCGGAAATGACGACTGCAGGTGGGGTTTCAGACATCGCAGGCACTGTACAAGACCAGAAGAAAGAAGAAGCGCACGAAACATATGACGACGAAGATGATGATGATGATGATGATGATGATGATGAAGACGACGACGATGATGACGATGACGATGATGATGACGACGATGACGAAGATGAGGACGGTGATGATAATGATGAGGCCAATGAGAGCGAGACGACTTCAGAAAGTGAAGCGGCAGGGAGCAAGCCGAATGAAAGAAACGAAGAAAACGAGGACGACGACGATGATGATGACCTTGACCTAGGTTTGGACGATGATGATGAGGACGACGACGACGGTAAGGGCAGAAGACACCACAACACAGTAGTGGCGCTACGCAGCGGCAGGACACACAGACGGATGCGATTAGAGTGACGGTGAATCGCCGCTCTGGTTACACTTTCCGAAGACACTACCGGTTTTACAATTATTTATTGTTTATAATTTATTGAAATGTGACTATATTTATTAAATAATATTGGAGGACACTTCTTCCTCCTCTGCGAACTAAACAGTAGCCTGAAATAATCTTCCAGCTATAGAAATCTCCCATACAAATGTCCCTGTTCTTAGTTAAGCATGCCACGTTCGTATTCTCAGCTTCAGGCACCGTCCGCATTACCCCTGGAGCGAAACCCCGAAAGAGGCTGGGTGACCTCCAAAGAGTCTGGATGCTTTGCAGAAGAAGACAAAAGTCTCTTGTCCCCGCCGGCAGCCGAAACTCTATTCAGCGGTAGCGACCTCCTACACACGGCGTTTATATCTTTCAGTCCCGTTCGTAGACTCCTCTCCCTGCCTCATATACTTTTCCAAGTTACAATGATTCTCTCATATAGACTCGAAACCCATTACAACTCTAAGGGACACGGCATTCATTCAAACGTTGCTAGCAAAATATTATCATGGATTTTTGTGACTATAGACGGATTTTTGGATTATTGGATTTATTGTGACCACTTGCAAGTGTTAATACAAAGAGCTATAATACTATCGCTATTTCCATACTTTACAGTTTACTGTCACACACACTAGCGTCCCCAGTCTATTACGATCTCCATTATCCGTTTCCTGGCAACGTATTTTAACACTTACTTACTCATGGAGCTGAGTCCTTCTGGAGGAGCCACCAATTCTGCAGCTACTCAAGAATTTCCCAGCATTTTATGGAACCCGAAGGCGACCGGTCCCTATCCTGAGCCAGATCAATCCAATCCATCCCATCCCACCCTATCTCTCTAAGATCCATTTTAATATTGTCAACCCACCTACGCCTTGGTCTTCCCAGTGGTCTCTTTCCTTCTGGCTTTCCCACCGATATCCTACATGCATTCCTCTTCTCCCCCATTCGTGCTACAGGCCCTGCCCCCCTCATTCTCCTTGACCTGGTCATTCTAGTTATATCTGGAGAGGAGTACAAGTTATGAAGCTCCTCATGCAGTTTTCTCCAATCTCCTGTCAATTCATCTCTCTTCGGTCCAAATATTCTCAACACCCTGTTCTCAAACACCCTCAGTCTATGTTCTTCCCTTAATGTCAAAGACCAAGTTTCACACCCATACAGAATCACAGGCAAAATTATAGTTTTGTATATGTGTGCATTTACGGGCCTTGTAGGGTATGTTATAGTATGAAGAAAGCAGTCTTCTGGGATTTGGCACCGTGTATATGTGGTGNAATCCTTCCAGCCGCACTATGGCCCTGTGGCCGACTCCACCTCAGGAATGAGTACCAGGAATCTTCCTGTGGGGTAAAGGGCGCCCGGTGCGTCAGGCTGACAATCTCACCGCCATTTGTGAGTCAATTGTCTAGAGAAAATGTGGGAGCCTCCACATCTCACAACCCTATGGGCCTGTTACAGGGGTGGCTTTTATTATTATTATTATTACTCGTATTATTATTATTATTATTGGAGGGGTGGGTTTCCCCATGCACCGCGACTAATAGTCTATTGTACGTCCCCTTGGCAGTGGTTCCCGATACTTCCCCATCTACCGGAGGCATTGGAGGCCGGGTTTGAACCCGCGTACCTTGAGTCATGAGGTGAGAACGTTACCCCTAGACTACGGAGGCCGCTAGGGGTAGCTTTACTTCTTTTTACCTTTTACATAGCATTATCGAAACAATCATATTACAGAAGTAAAGTCAGAATCAGTTACATGAAGGTAAGCACATCCGTTCAGTAGTGTAGGACGCCATTTTCGCAAATGACGTTGTCCGACTGAACTTTAGCTTTTCTATACACAAGCGCATCAGAGTTGGAACAAATGATCCTACAAATGAATACTTAAATATGTAGTCTGTCCTTTCATAAAGACTCTGTAAAGGTAAACATAAAGCTACCTCTGTAACAGGCCGTGGAGGCCCATACGGTTGTGAGACGTCGAGGTTCCCACATTTTCTAGACAATCGGGTCACAGATAGCGGTAAGGTTGTCAGCCTTACGCGCCGGCCGCCCTTTACCTCCCAGATAGATTCCTGGGACTCATTTCTGTTGGAGGCTAATGCGTTTACGCTAATTTACGTAGCCAATTGTATTTATTCGCGTCATTAGCTGAAGAAATAACACTATAGAATTCTTTTAGCATTCGATTCACTGATGTGATATGTCAAATCAGTGAATCAAATGCCAAAAGAATTCTATAATGTCAGTTCTTCAGCTAATGACGCGAATAGATACAACTTGCTACATAAATTAGCATAAAAGCATGATTACAGTTCAAACAATACCCCGGATAATCACAGATACATCTGCATATGTGTGTGCACATAAACATTCACTAACTCCATGGAGCTGAGCCCTTTTCGAGACGCCTCCAGTCACGCAGCTTCTCAAAAACTTCCCAGCATTTTATGGTACGTGAAGATTTATTGCCGTGTTCACAATAGTCCTCCACCGTTTCCCTATCCTGAACCAAATCAATCCAATCCATACCACTCGATCCTATCTAAGATCCATTCTAATAGTATCCAACCACCTACGTCTTGGTCTTCCCAGTGGTCTATTCCCTTCTGGCTTTCCCACAAATATCCTATATGCATTCGTCCTCTCCCCATTCGTGCTACATGCCGTACTTATCTCATCCTCCTTGACTTGATCATTCTGCTTGTAATTATACTTGGAGAAGAGTACAAGTTATGAAGCTCTTCATTATGTAGTTTTCTCCAACCTCCTGTCACTTCATCTCTCTTTGGTCCAAATATTCTCCTCAACACCCTGTTCTCAAACACCCTCAGTCTATGTTCCTCCCTTAAAGTCAGAGAGAAAGTTTCACACCCATACAGAACTACAGGCAAAATTATAGTTTTGTGTATTCTAATTTTTATGTTTTTGGACAGCAGACGAGAAGACAAAAGGTTCTGGACTAATGGCAGCAAGCATTACCCGAGTTCAATCTCCTTTTAATTTCCTCCTGAATCAGGTTTTGATTTGTTATAGTCGTTCCCAAATATCTGAACTGCGCCACATTTTTAAAACATTTGTTTTCTATATTTATGTCATGATTTTGCCCGGCATTTTGGTGACGAGACAGTAACATATACTTAGTTTTCTCTGTGTTTACTTCTAGATCAACCTCCTTACAACCTCAGTTAACTGTCCCTGCTTTTCTTCATGCTATCTATGTTATGTCGCAGTAGTCACATCATCATACACCAGGAGCTGACATGTTCCATTTTAGTCCCATCTGGTTTTCCTGGACCTTCTTAATGGCATATTCTAAAGCAAAGTTGAAAAGCAGTGGCGATAAAGCATCTACTTGTTCTGGACCATTCTGCATACGAAAATTATCGAACGAATATTTACCTATGCGTACTTTTTGTTTTATTTTATGTACTGACAGCGGTGACTATATTTGTGGTTCTGATGGTCTGTAGTTCGATACATGTTTACCGACGTTTCAGAGGAACATGCTGCCTCCATCTCCTTGATGGAAACTGTTATGATTTCCGTTAGTTACGTAATGCCACTGCATGAGCCAAGCAAGCAGGCATCCCAGAACATATTCATAATATTCCTAAATTCACAACTGGCTTGAGGCTGAAGTGAATGATCGGCATCACGCCCCGACCTCTTTGCCCTCGGAGAAAGAACACTCTGTATTTATTGGGTAGGAAACTGGAGAAATCCGGAATCGTTCTGGATCCAACGAAGAGAGGAACATGTAATGCCCCTACCGGTAATCGAATCGGTTGTGCAGTCATTACATACGTGCCGGTTCCTTGCACGTACAGGAGAAGGAACAAAACAAGAAGAAAGTGAGGCCGCGCAGCTGCTTCTGAGGGAAGCAGCTTCCCACAATCTCGGCCACGGCACACTGTGCTCGTGCCACATGAGGCCAGTTGTTGACCGACTGCGCGGCCTGCCGTTCACAAGGTAAGTGGCTAACTCTCATAGAGGATCCACTTATGGATCCGAATGGAAGGATAACGGCACACAACAGGGTCTGTAAGTCGTTATGAGCTGTAGTGCATTGCTTTAACAACGATAACCTGAAATTATATGTGAGTTACCATTTAAACATCTTACTTCATTACGCTTTCAACGCCAGTTGTTATTAACTCAGCCTCCATAGTCAAAAATGGGGTGGGGGGAACTTTAGGCATACATGGCCATGGATTTAATAACTTCTGAAAGAATTTGCAGTTTTTTACGCTACCCAGTAAGACGTTAATGATGTTTTTGACATCATGATATTTAACGTTACTAACATGGCCACCTCTGTGGTCTAGTAGTCAGAGTTTCTGGCTAAAGATCCAGAGGTCCCGGGTTCGATTCCCGGCGCTACCAGATTTTCTCAGACATAGTGGGTCTGGAAAGGCGTCCACTCAGCCTCCTGAAGATAATTGAAGAGTTACGTGAATGGAAAAATAGCGGCTCCGGTTTACAGCACCGAGAGTAACAGCCGTAGGAATCCGTTGCGCTGATCAAGCGACGCCCTCTATCCGCTAACGTTGGCACTAACTTCTCCGACAAGCGGCGGTCGCTCGGTCGGTACAGTTCGCTTGCAGACTAAAAGCCGCGGAGTTTAGTTTTTTAGTTTTAACATAGCAATACAGCGAAACATTCAGATGGAAGAAACATTATCGCCATTGGATTAGATTTCGAAAAGTCAGGTCTGCATTTTATGCGAAAGATTTGGGGCTCTTACTATTTTGAGTGTGAATATTACTTGTCGTCTCGATGTCCTCGAGAAGAATCCCTGCTAACCTAAAGACGGGGGCAGCATTTTCCTTCGAAATACTGGTAAGAATCTACCAAACTACATAGCGTCATAACCTGGAAGGCAGTAATTTTTATATATTGTATAGACTTTCAAATTTCTTGGCATACGACTCATGTTAACACACTTCTGTCAACATAACAGCCTGTATTTCACGACGATGACTCTACTGAATGTAGATCACAAACACATTGACATAAAATGTATGGCAAATTTTTCTGTGGTGAGGTGGTTTGAATATGCATAATGGGGAGCCTCATAACTTGTACTCTTCTCCAAGCATAATTAGAATGATCAAGTCAAGGAGGATGAGGTGGGCAGGGCATGTAACACGAATGGGGGAGACGAGGAATACTTATAGGATATTGATGGGAAAGCCAGAAGGAAAGAGACCATTGGAAAGACTAAGGCGTAGGTGGGTGGACAATATTAAAATGGATCTTAGAGAGATAAGATGGGATGGTATTGATTGGATTAATCTGGCTCAGGATAGGGACCAGTGGAGGGCTCTTGTGAACACGGTATCGAACCTTCGGGTTCCATAAAATGCTGGGAAATTCTTGAGTAGCTGCAGAACTGGCAGCTCCTCCAGAAGGGCTCAGCTCCATCAGTAAGTAAAGTACGTGTAAGTAAGTAAGTAAGGTTGTTTGAATATTTGCATGTATGAAGTGAAACTTATTAGAAATAATACATCTGATCCTAAAATGTATTAATATCAGTCGTATACCGCGAAAAGTTTAGGAGAATTTCGCATTCACTGACCCGGTATTTCGCCTGTCCGCGATCCATGATTCAACTACGGGCATCAAAAGGCCTATCATACATTCTAATTTATCATTTTCGAGAAACTATGCATGAAAATTCTAGGTCTTCCAATCAAAATATTTTCAGGAAACTGATATTAACGACACAAGCACAGCCAGTATACAAATTTCTATTATTTAATGTAAAATTTTACGGTAATATAATTTTAACCTTTTCGCTGCGTATTATTTCCTTGCATTTTCCCTAAAATAATACAATTTTTAGTTTAGAGATAAGAAGGAAACAAATTCATTTTCATGGTCCAGCGAATGAAGTCGAATGACGCAACAGAAGGAAGTGATTATGTCTCGACGTGGACAAAATGGGACCCGTACTGCATGAGCACGGCACTAGATGCTTGTGAGACTTCAGTGAGGTTAAGAAAGGCATGGAAACAGCATGGAGATCGCGCATGTCACACTGAGAAATACCAACGTTGGAGGCGGTACCTTTACCGAAACGTTGGTCCTATTTCCTCCGAAACATCGGTTAACACAAAATCTACATGGCGCCACATCCTAGAAGACTGCTTTCTTCATAGTCACTGCCGTGAAAACCTCAACTCTTATACAGTTACACTGTTTGTTTTGCAAATTTTTCTGATTGCTTGGAGTATTATAACGTTTTTGCATTACCTAGGAAAAAAATTACCCTCAGTTACCGCTTCACTGACTTACGGGAGTCTTCGCTTACTGTTTTAGTCGAACATTTGAATAAGCAAATGGCAGAGTTATATTTGGCATAATTATTTGTTTAATTTTAAAACGATTAATTTTTGATAACGAGTTAGATAAGTCTGCCGAAAACAAAATCGAAAGGGTTCTCCATGGAGTTGTGTTTTCGTGGTATTTACCACAAAGTTTCGTAACATTAAACTCAGTTAGTTAAATGATTCGAGGCCTTTCGTTAACTGGGTAGGATTTAGCGAACTGTCGGACAGACATGTGCATTATAAGGAAGCGGTCCCGCTGTCTCACTAATATAAGAATATTTTCTGCTACGATGGAGTCCAGTAAATAAGCTGTAAAATATAAATTTTGGAACGAAATTTGAGGGAGTGGAAGCCTAGACTTCTCTAATGAAGGTCTCTGTGATAGACTGCAGTAGATTCGAATGTGTGAAATCTCCATTCTTCATTTCAGGCACATGCACCACAATATTCCTTATTATCCCGGAAAAATGCTGAGTAACCTGCTTTTTCTGCTTCTTCTGCATTTAGGCGCCACGACGAAGGAACCCCAAGGTAGGTTGTCTCAGCTTTCAGCAGACTACATTACTGTTATGTTCCTGCGTTTCCTACAATCATTTGAAAGACTAAGAATTCCGAATCCTACATATCTCATAACTGGGAATTCAGAATTAAAAATACAGAGAAACAAACGCATAGTATGTAGCCATAAAAACACTGCATACACTGACAAAACCAAAGGGTGTCTCGACCTCCACATGTCCACCTTTGTCCAATCCGGCAGAGTTCATAGCTGCGTGAAGTGTGTGCAGCCGAATCGCCGTGTCAAGGTCTCGCAACGGGCGGTGTCGTCGGCCACAAGCCTCCGCACAATTCGATATTAAGATCCAGGGAACTTTTAGGCCACACCACACGTCAGACAACTGTTATCACAAAGGTTGTTCGTGATCTCTATCCGACCTTCCACAGGACTGCCAATACAGTATTCTGGAATTGGCCACCACTGACTACAACTTGTGCTTTCAAGGTCTCTTGATGAGATTGGGCATGAATATAGTTCGACGCTGAATAAGAGCAGCGTATAACTGCAGCTGTTGCATTATGACCCTGCTGCTTATCAACGAGGATGTGTTTACTGAGCGGTCGTTGCCTAGCAGCGACTCTACATGCTGCAGTGCGACAGGAGCCAGAACAGCCATAGCGGAGGGCTTGTTGAGAGCGCAGGACATCTGACCCGCACGCTTGCCTCTTCAGGATATGACGTACCATTGAGGTTTTCACGAAGCACACGCCTACATGCAGAAGCTAAACAATTTATAATATTTCATACGCAGAAAATGAAACCCCCACATCACAATACTAACGTAATCTAACCACACAACCTAAACGAATCCAAATTACCGAACCTTTATCGAGGTTTATGAGAACAAAATACGTATGAAGAGAACAACCCCATATTTAAATATCTTGGGAACAAATACAAGCCAAAAAAAAAAAAAAAAAAAANGTATTTTTTGCCTGCTTTCCACAGTAGGCTTATGTGATCCTTATCCTGTCTGTGTGTCTGCGTATCCTCCCATCAACTTTTGAATGCCTGAACCAATCTTATGATGCAGTTGTAGCAACGGACAACAGTTTGTCGCCCCCAGAGGTCACAGCGGTGCGAGCAGTGTCTTCCCCATGCGCGTGCCTAGAGGGTCAGTGTAGCTGTTGCACAGGATTCATCTTAGGACAACTGGGATATGAAATTAAGCAGAGAGGTAAGTGCGTGAAATAATATTATTTGTCCCTGTGAGGAGCTGAAACGGCTTCTCGTGGTCCTCTTAAGGTTCGGCCACACAGAGCGCTAGGCTATGTTCGCTACGTACGCTACGCACGCTGTGTACACTCTGCGACGCAGCTAACATAGGGAACATAGCGTACGTAGCGTACGGAAGTCTGTGGCCAGTCACATTGGCAATAAAGGGAGATATTTTTCTGTTCGTATAGCGAACATAGCGTACGTAGTAGCGCTCTGTGTGGCCGAACCTTTAGTAAGCACTCAATCAGTAATGTGGCTCATTACGTCAGTTTAAAAGCTCTGCTCCAAAAACGCAGATTATATAACGTCATATGAGACAAGGAATGCGAGTGGGTAAGAATTTGGAAGGTCATGGTTGTAGCCTATTTCAGTCCTACAGTCCTACATCAGCAGGACTTCATGTCAGGAATTGGGAGCAGGGTGTAAAGCAGTTTAATAGAGAAAAAAAGAAGCATTTTTAAGCCGATCCTAAATTGTTGTAAACGCGATTCAGTTCCTGAAATGCTATGTTCTTTATAATACCAGACGATGGACGAGGTCCGAAAACTCAGTAATCCCGAATAAAAATATTTTAATTTTTTTGCGAAAGAGGAATTAGTTCATGTGTGTTCCGTTCCTCAGACACTTCTATTGTTTCAGTCGTTAGTATTGCTAGGTTGTCTGTCCATCCCCTGTTTCGCCGAAATCCATATTGTTTCTGATTACTTTCAAGCCACCAGCATATGCGCACGTTTATTATCCATTCTAATGCCTTGCACACTGATGATTCCATGCATATAGGTCTTACATTCGTTTTGCCGTTTCTACTGATAAAGAACATAATATTTTTTCAGGCACCTGGGAACACTCTTGCTCTTAAAATATCGTTATAAATCTCTAACAAGTTTTCTAAAGTTTCACCTGCCAAACTGCGAATTCTATCCAGTCCCGGGCTCGATCGGACTCTGAGGTTTCTAATTGCGAAGTGGAGTTCTTGAATTCTGCACTCTGTGTCCAGGAATGGATCCTGATTATCGCGATCGAATGCCGGTGTTTGCATCGGGTTATCGGCCCCCAAGCATAGCTTTTCAAAAGCCCTTTTGGCGGATATAACTAGTTCCTCTTTGTATTCATGTTCCATTTCCATCTTTTCATTCTATCCCAAATGTACCATGGATTTGTGAATTTATCTAGTCCCTCGCAGAAAGTTCCCCGATTCTCGCGTTGGAAAAACATGTAGACTTTGGCTGGTGCTGCCATCTGTGTAAGATATTCTTTACTCTGATGTCCGTTCCTGTTTGAAACCAAAAATGAGTCAACCTCGACGCTTAATACAGCGGCACTTCACCACTGTATCGAGCTACATTTGACTTTAGGCTCCGATGGCGTTAAGCCCATATAATAATAGGCTATTTGGCGTTGAGGTGATAAGATGTCGGTTATGAAACAGAAGTGTTTCATATGGCTGAATGTCTCTTCATCTAAGTACTACCTGTTGCTTTACAGGATGCATGAATCTGACGTATGAACCAGATGACTTCGCGTTCACAGTTGTTTTATCGATCAACGATAGAGTGCTCTACAAGAATACACTGTCTGGTGAGTATCTCCAACGATAGAGTGCTCTATAAGAATACACTGCCTGGTATCTCCAACGATAGAGTGCTCTATAAGAACACATTGTCTGGTGAGTATCTCCAACGATAGAGTGCTCCACATGAACACACTGTCTGGTATCTCCAACGACAGTGCTCTACAAGAACACACTGTCTGGTGAGTATCTCCAACGATAGACTGCTCTACAAAAATACACTGTCTGGTGAGTATCTCCAATGATAGAGTGCTCTACAAAAACACACTGTCTGGTGAGTATCTCAGGCAGGGCTTCAGAAATAGAGTTGCCTGTTTGTGGTGGGAAAATTAAAAAAGACACAAACTGTTGTAGGAAACGTATTGTTGTCTGCTGACGAATTCATTTCAATTGGCCATTAAATATAAGTTGAATTTCTGGGGCCCTTGTTTCAAGCCTCCAGAATTATACGTATATATTTCTCTCCAAATCATCTCTGAGGATACTCCATACCTTGAATACGTAACCTTGTGGAAGAAGGAAACTCTCTATGTCGCTATCTGATGATACACTCTCAAAATATTTAGACACATTACAACTTACTCAGATCAGTAGTGTAGCGTTTCATTAATTCTGGTTGGATTTATAGTTTCTTCAACTACCAATCTAGACTAAGATTCTTATTATTAAACTCCAATTAAAGTTTAGTTTATTCTCCATTTAACAGTATTTTGATCCAAGTAACTGAGTGTCCATGCATGGGGATATCTCTGTTTCTGTAATGCAACTTTCCGTACTATAACACTTAAAATGTATAACTTCGCCTGAAATTTTGTTATGGTCATGAAGCTTGGATTTTCATTCTGAGGGAAGATCATAGGTTGAAGGTATCTTAGAATGAAGAGCTGAGGAGAATGCATGGGCCTAAGGAAGAAAACTTAAGAGTGGGATAGAGAATATTACATAAAGAAGAGCTTAAGTTTTCTGTTCTTCACGTGATAATGTTCGGGTGATGAACTCAAGGACGTGTGGCAGGTGGGTAAATTAAAAATACGTGCAGAATTTTGATCAGAGAAGTGAAGGAAAGAAATTTCCTTGGCATGGATTGGAGACAAAATTAAAAAAACAAAAAACAGAGCAACAGATGCGAAGGGATAATAGATTGGACAAAACTGGTTCAGTACAGCACCCAATGACGGATTTTGTGAACAGGGAAATGTTTTCTTGACCAGACAAGTAATTATCAACCTTCCCGAGGAACACAGCGTGCTGTATTTTGTTCGTTTGATTTTGTAATGATCTGCATGGTTCAATAACGAAATCATGTTGGCAGGCAAGAACCCGAGGCCTGTGTGTGTCTCTGTGCCCAGAGTACCCAGTATCAAGTTGTGTGCTGTGTTCAGCAATGTGTACTTCGCTGGCAGAAACCTGCACATGTGTATTGACATGGAGGGTCGGTGGTTGGGAACGACACTATTCCAAGTGTCTTACGACTGCATCCGAATAGGTGCTAATGGTATTGCTCTACTGAAGCCCGAGGATGATGGTGGCCTCCCTCATGTAACTTATGTCACTGGAGAAGAAGAGGACTATGATGACATGGAGGAGGATGACGTGTGAAACACTGTCACATATACTGCGAGGAAATATTACGAAGGAGAGTCAGTAAATAGGTCACAAATAGAAGTAAAAGAGCTATAATGGATGTAATAGGGTTTCTATGTGTATCACTGGGAAACAGCAGAGTCCAAAGTAGCAGACACACATGCACGTGCTCAGAGGCTGGATTCAGTAGTCAAAATGGCTACTGTGTTTGAGGAATGTACTAACGAAGAGCATCGTTGATGTGCATTTTTTGTGGGCAAAAGGACTCAATGCAAAGGATATTCATAAAGAAATGTTTCCTGTTTATGGTGGAAAGTGTTTATCGCATAAATGGTTGGCAAACATTTCACTGATGATGAAGAAGTTGAATCGGAGGTGCGGAAGCGGTTGAGACAACAGTCAATAGACTTCTATGCTACGGTTTCGAGGTACCGGTAAAGCAATGGGACATGTGTATCAATGTTGGTGGAGGATATGTTGAGAAATTTATGTTTTCCCCAATTTCAAATATCACATTTTTTAAGTTTTATATCCATTTGTTACCTATTTACTGATTCCTTCGTATCAGTTTCCAAGATGTATAACGTTAATAAATATTTTATTTATTATGGGTATTTTTCATTCATGTACACACAAATTCCGTTATTTTTTCTTGTAAGTATGGCTGAAAAATATTTCTCAGAATGTACACACAATGTGAAAAGTGAGGGTGCATTTTGTTTAATTAACTAATTAAGTACTGTGACACGGGAGAGAGGTATAGCTCCAATGATGCTTACCTTTGGGACTAGATAGAAATTAATGGTTAACTACAGGCACCGAATGCTTTACAACTGACAAAAGGCCCCAGCTGCCATTAGACAGGAACCTAGGTGCACCCCAGAGAAGGTGTGAGATACAAAGGTGAAGAAACAATCACGGGAACAGAAGCCTACTTCTCCGGCTGTCCATTCTGCAGTCTAGTCATTAATTCTCTAGACTGACTGGGCTACCCGGGTCATACAGTCATTCCCATGTAGCTCAGAAATGAGAGGTAAGGAGACATCCCGGAGATAATGTACAACGAATTCTAGTATGCATCAGTTCAGAAGGGGTTGATGTGGTGGTACTACTACCACCAGACCAAGATGTAGAAGGCTCAGAGTTTCCCAAGCTCAGTGTATAGTTATGCATAGGCCTCAAAGCGCAATTAGGTGGCTTCATCAGTAAGTGTATAAGAAGCATGTTCATTAAAATTACATTAAAAATGAGCCAAAAATCATTTGGGACTTATAAGATTGAGCCTTAACGACCTAATCCTACAAATTTCAAGACGGTGACAAATTTTAACCAAACTGGGGATAGTCTATATGTCGTATAAATGTAAACAAATGAATTAATCGTAAAATCAGGAGTGGTTCTTACGGTTAATAAGACATCAAATCGACATCCATAAATCTTTGCTATATCCTCAAAATTAGCTTGTTCAGTCTAAAAATCAATCTACAGTTATGCCAGACTGTATTCATATTTCATTTAGACTGGACAATTTAATTATCATTTGACATAAGACCATAATTATCTTTCTTAGCTTATGTCAATCAATAGTGAAGAAGAGAAAACAAATATTTCAACTTCAAGTAAATATTCATTGCACCATTAATCCCTAGACCAACTATATCACCAACACTTTTTGTTAGTTTCTCAAGTAATTTTATCTGAAAAGGTAATTCTACAAGAAAGCAAATTCTTCAGTTGTTTCAAAAATTTCTGGGACCCCAGTAACCATCCACCATCCACAAAAATCACATAAAACTACTTCATACTGAACATAAGCCTGTGTGTACAACATCAAAACAAGGTTCTTACTCACAGATACGTGTACAACCAACACTACAGAATACTTGAAACATTAAGTATCGATTAGAAAAGTTCAGGAGTTTTAATCAATTGCAACCAAATTCAGCTACAATTGAGAGCCTAATTTTAACTAAGTTTCAGCAACATTTCAAAACAAAAATGCTAAAAAATAATACAGTGCAACAATTACGTTAGTAATTTCATTGATGATGACCTTATAAGGTTGAAACCTGTTGTAAAATAGACATCGACAGTACATGACAACGCAGCACACCAACAATCTATGAAGAAGACTTCAAAATTGCCCCTCTGAATTCCAAGAAAATCTCCCATAAGGCAAGACCACGAGATATTAGATGCCTTATGCAAGAATAGAAGACTGAGGAGTTATGTAATGGCTGCCCCTTAAAATGATGCAGGATGTGGGCTTTCAAATATTATGTATTCTTTCAGCTAGCCATAAGGTCAAGGACGTACTCGTACATGAATATGATAAGGTTATGATATCGACTGCCTCTGTGGTCTAGTGGTCAGAGTTCCTGCCTACAGATCCAGAGGTCTGGGATTCGATTTTCTGAGAAGTAGTGGGTCTGGAACGGAATCCACTCAGCCTCGTGAGGATAATTGAGGAGCCATTCAAGGAAATCGCGGCTCCGGTCTACAAAAACCGAGATTAACGGCCGTGGGGATCCATTGCGCTGATCACGCGACACCCTCTATCCGCAAAAGTTGGCACTAACTTTGCCGACAAGCGGCGGTCACTCGGTCAGTATAGTTCGCTTGTGGACTACAGGCCACGGAGATTGTTTTGCTTTTGTTTTATGATGACAGCAGATACCACAGCCTCTGGAACGTACCATATCACCTAGAACTCCATATTGCGTGACACAGCACCTAGACCCCTCGGCCTAATTGCCCCAAGAGGTGATGATTAACTGCTGTGTAAGATTTATGACAAATGTATTCTATGTAAGATTTGAGGTTTTCGCAGCGGCGACTATGAAAAATGCCGTCTTCTGGGATATGGCGCCCTGTAGATATTGTGTAAATCAGTGTCCAGTGTGCAGTGTATCCTGAATGTTTTAACTAGGTTATCTAAAAGTGGCCTGATTTTGTATAGTCTCTCTGCTTCACCATCCAGGGTGGAATTATCGCTGTAATACCAAAAATTCCAAGTTTGCTCAAATCTGTTTATGCTCATTAGCTTGCCAAAACCTGGAGTTTCAATTGATTTACTGGTGCTTCAGTAATCGCTAGTTTTATCACTGTTAACATTGCCCATCAAAATGATTATTGCAAGAAATTTCTTCCTATCTGTAATGCTAACATCTTTCCACGCCAAAGACTGGGGAGTTTCTGTATTTGTCTGAATTTTGGGCATGATATAAATCTGACTACACTACAAGAATTTGTAGAAAATTACTCCCAAGAAGTGGTTCACTATTTCCGAAATACTGGTAGGATTATCATGTGTAAATGTCAGACCACTGTTACCTAAAAACTGGTCTGAACTTATTAAATCATCATTTTTTGAACAACTATGATCATCATCAGTGTTTATATCTGAATTACTCACCACTGCCTTTCTGTGACGTTGTGGGTCCAAAATCCTCATTACTACTTTCACGTTCACTTTGAGCATCTGACGACCGAGCTGCATGCAATACTTGCATAATTTCATCGTCTAGTACGGTCTAGGTCTAGTAGGCCTTACCTACAGCGGAATGTCATCTTGAAACTAGACTTGACGGAAGGTAGAACAGCAAGAACTACGATATATTGTAAAATAAACAAAAGACTGTAAAAGAAAACCAAAGTGTACATAGACATCTAGAAACATTCTAATCAACGGATACATAGTTAGAAGTTGAATAAACCTCCGTTAGATGGTAGACGGTAACTATGGAAGTGCAACAAACATTGCTGCACCAATTATTTGCAGTATACACAGATTTAAGTCAATATATATATTAACAATCGTGGGACCACAGCTGTTATAGAATAATATTGGATATTAGAATGTGCTACAGAAGGCCGGATGGGCATTGCCCAGGCCTCTTTAGTATTTACATTTTTTCTTACAATTAAAAAAAACAAACATTGCTTTACGTAGCCTGACAACAATGCGTTAAGAATTTTTGTATGATACATTGTTGATTAGGTCGTCAACGTAAGAAATTAATATAAATATTGCAATAATTGTCACAGATTTCGGTAATAGATCAAAGACGTTAAAGGAGCAATTCTACTTCGAATTCAGCACAGATTATGTGTTTGGGAGTGGTTTTCTCGTGTCGCCCCAGTTAGTAAATTCAGTAATATTACGTGTGACTTTTCCTGTGATTATGATGTAGTATTGATTTCACTAATAAATGTGTGTAAAATAAAAGAAGTAAGAGAGCCGCGACCAAGCAACGGCTATTGAAGACGTGACTGTGGACACTAGTGTGTGTGTGTGTGTAAAACAGTGAACTGTAAAGTGTAGTCACGAGTTGTGTGTTAAACGAGTTCAATAAATCAAAAACCCACCCATACTCACTCTAAGCTAAAGACTGAGAGAATGTTGTGGCGAATAGACACATTGCTAGGCAAATACCTTGAAACAAACGCGTACAACTGTTGCAATGCAATAGAGAAATAAATGACCGTTTCTGAGCAATGGCTAGATAAACAGGTTCCCGTGGAAATAATTTCCGGGCCATCACCCATGACAACAATAGAGGGACTGCTGGAGGCGGTGTTTTCTGTTGGGTCTGCCCCGAGACTATACAGTGAGGTCCAAAGGCCAGCTAAGGAATATAGATGAGGGTTGGCAGTTGCATTGAGATGCCCCCCAAACACATGGTGTTCACCTGGCCCTCTTTGCAGGATGACAGCTGTATGTATGCGACAGATTGCAAGGAGGGTTTTATTGTTAGAAAACTCCACCATGGTCTCAGCTCAATGGAGACCTGGTGTGAGCGTTGGAATATTAAAATTAATGAAGATAAGACTCAGGGGGTCTACTTCCCTCGTGGTCGTCGACCGCCTGAGTCTTGTCTCACTCTAAATGGACGAAATATTCCATTTGTAAATAGTGCAAAATATCTAGGTGTAATCTTCGATAAGAGAGTTACATGGAGATTGCACATAGAAAGCCTTCATAACATCCATTAGAGTATATTCCCTATTCAAAAGTGAGCGATTGAGCGCTAACATTAAAATGACCCTCCACAAAGCTCTTATCAGATCCGTAATGACTTAGCTAGTCCTGCCTGGGAGTTTGGGCAGACACCCATCTAGTTAAATTGCAGCGCCTGCAAAACAAGGTTCTCCACACCACTGGCAATTTTCCAAGGCACACACTGGTCTGTGATTTGTACATGGCATTCAAAATCCCATATGTATATGACTATATAACAAAATTATGCAGGAAAGAAGCAGAAGTCATATAAAATCATGAAAATGAGAATGTTCGCAACATTGGACAAAGCGAAGCCCAACACAGAAAGTATGAGGCTTAAACTTGGCAGCGGTCAAGCATATGACCGTTCAAGTGACTAGACTGCCGTGGTAGCGAATACTACTAGAAATAGGGCATAATCTGCTGTACAGAGGCCTTGTATATACTGTACATAGAAATAGGAATTAAGATTAAATTTGTAAATATATGTAAATACTGACAATGGACTATGACAAATGACAGACCCGACCTCCCATCAGAGGGGGCGCCTCAAATGGACAGGACATGTGGGGGGGGAATCTGGTCATGAGCCCCAGCCAGGGCTCAACACAAAGACAGACAGACAGACTGACTGACTGACTGACCGACCGTCAGTCGCAGTGAGACTTTGACTTGCATTGAGCTATGCCAGGGAGGCTGAGAAGAGATGGCGCCAGTTACAGGATATGTGCCAGACAGTAACATGAGCACAGAAGCTATGTTTCATAGTTAAGATCCATTACCAGGAAAGAACTTGTGAAAGCAAACTGAGAAGACTTAGCGTGTAGTGATTTTGAAAATGTGGAAACCAGCGGTGGTGCTGTAATTACTTATAGTCCTGAGTGGTATGTGGTCAATAAATGTATTCACCAATCCATACCCCAACTATAGCTGTGTATTTTATTGGCTCAATGCCTTCCAACCCACTTGGCTAATGACAGGCCTCAAAGACTTGTATTGTTTTGTAGCTTTTAATTAATTTTGGATGCTAAAGCATATTTTTGGGGGTTTGCAACATATTTCTTCTGTGAACTTAAACTAAGTCCAGAGATTGGATTGCTACCAAACATGAGTTTTAACACATCACATTACATATGAAATAAATGCTGCATATTTATTGTTAGGTTTCCTTCTAGCAATCAACAAATTTCTTGTTTGGAATTGTAGTTGCATAATACTAAAATTAAAAAAATCCACTAAGTAACTGCAAACACTATTTCCATCTCTGGTCATATTCAGAAACTGGAAAACGTGATCAAGACACATGATGCTACCATAAGAAGATTCCGATTATCTCCTTATTGTTACACAGATAACTTTACCAATAGAGGGTTATTCGGGAGTGATGGGAAGGGCAGACAGCACTCAACTGAAACTTTATGGTGCACCTCAATCATAAACCATTTAACCACCAAGTACAAGGCTTTATTACTAACATATCTTGGATGTCTCTTGTACAAAACTTTGAACTCTCAATTTCACTTCTCTGTATATAACAACAAAGGAAGTAGAGTTTTTCAGTTATAGACAAAGCACAGTTTTCGTCCAGCAGTTTGTCCTGTTATTAGTATTAACTTTTTAATAATTGCTTTATCCAGAGATGAGGAATCTTTGGCCATCTGGGCGAGACACCAAATAGAAACAGATATTTTATTACATATACACAAAACCTAATAACAACCGTGTGTGATACACTGGGGTGATTATGTATGCAGTCATAAATATTGGAGAATGGCATCCTTCCTACAACTACACTCTCCGACAACACAAAGATATTGACAGTTTTGTTTCACTGTCTCCCTATCTTGAGCATTAGAAATGTGTCAACATATAGGTATTGTGTTTGAAAAGAACATTCAGAAAGTCTTGAAGGAGCTAAATCCCCCTCTTTATTTTATTGTTTTACTTGCCTACATTTTAGTTGATTCTCGCCCAAGATTCCAGCATGCTCCCAAGTGCAATTACTTATTTTGTTTTATTCTAATGTTTCCAGCAATAACAATGCACATATACTTTCAAAATATATTTTATATTTATAATATTTACATGGTTTGTATAAATTTTGTTCCTATTTTGATTTCTACCACTCTAAAACACCAATACCACCTTTCTAAAAAAGTAAATACTTTCTCATTTGAACCACTCACACCTTCAATCACAGACTTGCAGTGAAGTCCTTGATAGTCCTGATTATTCCTTTGTGCATTGGAAGGAAGATGATGGAGCTTGTTTGTTGTTGTTGATGTTTGAAAACAAATATTCACTATCAAGTTTTCCATTTGTATATATTTTAAAATAAATAACAAGAACAAAAAAGATCATGATTGCATATTGTTTGAGGGATACAACTTAAGGGACGAAGGGTTTTGGTTCAGTGTCCTATGTTCCAGACTTACCAAGCCTGTCCAGGGCTCTGGGTTTGGAACAGCACAAAACTCTATGGAATCATTGCCATGGGGCAAGAGAGGAGAAAAAGAGAAAATGGGGCACTATATCCACTTGTGAAATAATGAAAAATGACATGCCAAAGTTGTTAAGGAGTTGTCCCCCAAGGATTATTAGACACAGAACAGTGGAAAATACAGCTGCTTTCTTAAACACAGAAAAGAGTCAAGGGTGGGGTTTCTGTGGGGAAATAGAAGAATGACAGAAATAAAAGTAAGTATGCTCAGCATCAATAAGCAGTATACTGTACTCCCAGCTTGGTTAGATACTTATGATTAATAGCTGTTTTAGTCCTTAATACAGTGTGCGTATTGAAAATATTATTTGAATTAGTATCAAGCACTTGTTGGCTTATTCTGAAGCTGTTATGTTGAGCACTTGGTGTTTTCTACCACTTGTCCACTACTGCTTCCCCAACTGGAACAGAATACAGCAAGTTACTTAGGTTAGTTACTATTAGATATTAAGCAGTTTCTACCACATGACGATAATAGTACTCCTTTGGTTACATTTTATGGCTCTGAAGACTTAACAAAACTCCATGCACAAATGATATGAGAGTGAAAATAAGCAGACTACTGAAGAATAATTAAACAGAACTATCAGCTACCAGCAATGCTGTAAGCTAAATTTACATAAAAATTAAAGTATAACAGTATAACAAATCACAATATATCACAGGACAACAAATGAAACATACACGAAGAAAGCTAAGCCTTACATCTAGGAGGGAACAACGCCATTAACATATACTTGGAATCTTTCACACAAGTTTTTCTTTATAATAATGATTGTAAAAGGAAAAAGAAACATTTCTATAATCTCAATTGTCTGTCACAATGTTCTGGTTCACATGTAGCCTCCATCACCATCACCACCACAACCACCAAGACATCTGGTGGTGTATCAGCAAACCTTCACCATTTGTCAATTATAGTAGCTGGCGTCACTGTGAAACACAAAAGCAAAGGAAAGATACATCAGAAGTGTTCCCAGCATGCAACAAATGGCATGAGTATCTCAGCAGGAAGAGGAACTGCAGTATTTACAGCGCCTAGAAGCTACATGACATGCCAACCCAAGCAATCAATCTCTGGCAACTTTCTCACTCGTTTTCCAAACCTAAAGCACTGCTTCACATTATTAACATATTTTCAAAACAAGAGTTATTGATATTTTTCTGATTTTATATCATCAAAGAATTTTGTTTAACAAAAAAGAGGTTTAGTTGCGCCACTTAAGACCCATCAAACAGGTTACCAAAATATTATTTTCTTTTTTGTCTACTTCACTTGTGAAAACCAAGTTTTATTTTCTGGGCATCCCATTCATGTGACTGAATTGTGTGGCAGGCTTAGCCATTTCCTAATATTCACAGTCATCTTCATACTTCAGTTTCTTAACCTCTGTGTCTAATGGCCCTATGCTGGGCTGTTGCAATGGAGCATGCGATGTAGCAGGACATGTGTTTCATTTTTTCAAAACTAATGCCGTTACTACTGGATTAATACCCAGCTGACAATTATACAGCACTGGCGGATTTAAAATATCCTAATCCCTTATAAGAAAGGTTTAATATGACTTCATCATTTTAATATTTCAACTTTGCCTTCCAGTATTTATCTTACATTACATAAAAATATTTTGCCATGTCCCATGCCTCAAATAAATTCCAAATCCACTTTTTAAAATTAGTTAATAGGATGTGTGGTCAAATTTCCAATCCATTTTGATTATAAAGCTGCAATGTCATGAAGATAAAACACGATTTTTAACCATCTCTATATAAATTAGCAAATACAAGTTTTAATTTGATATCAGTTTTCAAGTGAAGACTGATTACAATAAAAAATGTGTTGATAGTTTCAGAGCACATAAAGCTGGCTTTCAGTTCTCTCCATTTCTTGTGGGGCCTGTGTAAGTTCAGTTGGTATATAAAGACCTACATTAAATCATCATGAGGTCTGATCACTAACAACTATTACAATAATAGCGATAAAAATAGACTCTGATGGCTTGGGTTCAGATACCATAACTCAATGTGCAACTTTTTCATGGAATGTTAGCAAGCAGGCATCTGAAGCAAATTAAGCAAGCTTTTGAACTGGTAAGAGGAAAGGAATATGGCTTATGGCTACACACACATTCAACAGGGACCAACTTAAGTGACTTCAATCCATCTTAAAAACAAAATAAGGATTTGTTAAAAGTATGTAGTGTCATTACAGCATAAGACCCACTGAACCAATGCACGAGTCTAATCTACTACAAAAGCACATGTGCCACAATAGGAGTGCCCAATCTGTGTGAATACTCAGTTCAAAAGTATCGTCTATTCATCCAAAACTACAAAACTTATGAGTATATATGACTAACAGGTTGGGTCCTCCTCTGCACATCTAAAATAGTATATATTGCTACAGAATGCATATAAAGAAGACTGAATTTGCAACAGAATACTAAATTAACCACAACTGAAAATGCATAAATACAGGGGATAAATAATGGAATTATGATTTTTTCCCCCATTTTTATTATATTACCTGTCAATACACAATGATATAATTATCCTTTCCACAGGTCCAAGCCGAATTAATAGAAGAGCAAAGTCTTTTTGAAAAGCATTACTTTGTACTAATTATAAAAGACAGTGACAGCCAGTATAAATGGGTTCATTATGAAATGTGAATGTAATTAAACAATGAACATCATAGAATATTAGTCTCATGTAATGGAATGTATTTTGTTTGATTCAGATCACAAACTTTTGCAGTTCATCCTATATAATCACAAAAATGACGTGAAAACATAACATTATATGAGGGGGGACCCAAGAATGACCGNTTATACTCTGCTTGTATGTGGGACAGTTTTCTGACTTCCTGACAAATTGATTTAACTGCTGTATATTACATACTGAGAATAATATTTCAGGCTTAATGCAATTTCAAAGGTACTGGTAACTACCATGTAGGTTTTTGGGTGACAGGTGAAAATACTCACACAGCATTCCAGGTGAAGAGACACTGGGGTGATGCAGGGAGGGGTACACTCCATTAACTTAATGAAGCACTGAATAAAATTATGAAAAGAATAAAACATTAGTTAAAAAGAGACAAAGAGTAAATTGGACAAAGGAGGCAATGCAATATTTAGATACAGTAAAATGCAAGACACACTATTCTGTAGTTTCAAGTATCAACAATTAATAGTTGGTTTTGCATAAATAAATTTAATTTCTTCTGAACTGGGACAATGCATATGGTAATCTTCTGCCCACTTGTCATCAAAGGGGCAGGATGTACCATTATTAAATCAATATATAAATGTTAAAAGGGAAAGGACCACTAATATCAAACTGACTGGTCTCATAAAATCATGCTGACAGTTTTAGATGATGATGCACTCATGTCCTGGCTGACCAAAACACTGGAAATATAACAAAATGTTGATATATTATTGTTGTTAACAGCTTTCTACAAATACTTTGCTAAATATATTCAGACACTGCCATAGATGAATTGCTTTAATTTCACTTCCCTTATAAATGTTAACAAACTTTCAACCACTATTTACATAAAGGCTTTAATGGTGTTGTCACTAATATCACTTCCAACAGTCAAAAACAGTTCAATGGCCCATTTTTCATGATGAACACAAGGCATGAAAATGCATTACAGTGGGGTACCCCATACGCATGACTTTACTCTCATTGTCTATAACAAAAGTGCACTGTGATGGCTTAAAAACATATGCCTACAATCTCCCTTACTACAGAAGCAGTGCACCATAGATGACACCACACCTGGCAGTTCACAACTTAGGTTCGAATGTAAGTTATTAGTGGTAACTTGGTTATACCTAACATATATATGTAGCCCTGTTTACTATTGCTATGGCATTATGTACATTTTTTGTCTTTTAAAATCCTTTTACTAGTCCCTAAAATGAACTCCTGGTATTTGAAAATTTCTGACCTCCAAAATGGCCTATTCCGAAACTCTCCAGATCTGAGAAGCTCCACTCAACAAGTTTGTCTTTCCTTATACAGGCATTTTCATTGCAATAATCTTGCAAGCTAGCATGTTCACCATTGAAATAAGTGTTCCCATTTAACTGAATATTAGAAAGAGTAAATATAAATTAAAGGTGTGTTTTCACTGACCACAAAAAATCCTCTCTAGTTTTGTCAAAAGACAAAACTTGTAGTGTCTGACTATACTTATATAAACAACTCACAAAATTAAGTTGTTACAAATGGACAACAGAGGAACATTCAGAGAAAAGTGGCACGACACTTATGTCAGTTCCCACTTCTGGCACTATTGCAACATGTTCTGAGGAACGTGCACATTGCTGTGCTGACTTGTTTTTCTGTCAATGTGTATAAAATCAAGGGATGATTATGTTCATAATTAATTCAATATCACCATTTTCTAGTATTAGAGGCAGAATTTAGGGCTAAATTAGCAAAGATGTAAAATTATTACTGCCAATTGGTGTCCATCTGTAACAGTTCTGAGAATGAATTACTAAAAGATCAATGCATTTAAAATTATACATATTTTCACAAGTCATTAGCACTCAGTGAGTGAAATTTTCCACTTGAACAAAAGGTATTTATTCAAAATATGCCCTATGACTGGCTGATAATTTCTATAGTAAGACTACATATGCACTGAAATATACTTTGCATACCATTTCTGAACATTCAGGAAAATGATCCCTTGTAGCAAAAACATTTTTGTTTGAACAAAATAAATACATACATACTTTGATTTATTTCAGTTGTTAGTGATGGTCAGTCATCAATGACTAATCAGTCCAGTACCTTCACGTTGAATAAACCTCCAGAATGAAGAACAAATTTCTGCTACAGCAGGATCATAAATTTTCCCAAATTTGACAGGATCATAAGAATTCTTACCTAAGGCAGGAGTAATCTGGTTGTCTGCTGACTGAACTTGGCAACAACAAGCTTTGTCAGGAGAGGTTCAGGTTACATGGAATTGTCTGCACACTTTGAAAAATAAAAAACTGCAAACTGGAACAAAATCCTTTAAACTTCATGCATGAAAAGATGGCTTATAACAGAATTAATAATCTGAATAGCACAATATCTGTAATGCCTCAATCCAAGAACATTAGATGTATTTTTATACATTTTCTGTACTATGAACAGTACTTGATATATGTTTCACGCTTTCACTGGCAATTATATTTGTAACACTTGTATTCCAGTTACATTTCACATTTTTATGTACCTGTTATTTACTGCCTCACTATGTCTGACCATAATTTCTCTGTAGCATTATCAGTACTCCCAAAATACTTATGAGGATGGTGTTATAATCACCATGATCAAACTGAGACAAACCTCACACAGCATTTTGATTCTACAAAAGTAGCATAACAAAGACAAATGTATATCTTCCAAAAATACATTTGCTGGAAAAATGGTTTTCACATTTTCTCAGTGCATGAATTGTTCAGCCAGAGATTCTAAAGGCATAACATACACGGATATTTCTACACTTCACTTTAAGACAACTGAAATTGTATACTTCCCATTTACTTGCATGTTTAAAACCAAATGTCATGTTTTTAAGAATTGTTTCCTAAAATGCCTAAAATATTATTTATGTCATTATATGTTTCATGGCCATATGAAAGTGTAGAATATTCTGGCCAAAACTGACTGCTATGCACATTCAAGAATCATGAAAGGACACTGTACCATCACTCAAACGTGTGAAAATTTTGGTTTACTGAACATGCTGCTTCTGGATCTGAACATGTTGCCTGGTAAAGAATCATATACTGGATGTTAACCACCCTTTGGCTTAGAATGTTAAAGACTGATAACTACAAGAGTTCAGCTCAAGTTCTGCTGAGAAAAGTAAGAAGTGTGCCTATATTTTGTGCAATAATGAACCTTTATTTTTTCTCACAATGTCTTTGGGATGCTGATTCATCCATTCTCTCTTACTTTCATATACCTTGAACTTACAATATTTCTCACTTAGACATTACTATATAAAACAAAATGTACATACATCTGCAGCCAAATTCCTTTTATTGTTTATATATGAACACTGCATACTGACATAAAGCTGCTCTTCCATCTCTGCATTGATGTTTCATTTATATTCATAGTCAGTGTCATTGGATCTATTTCCATACAATAAACAGAGTCTGTCCTCCTGTCTGGGGCAATGATATGGGCCCCTCCAAAAAGACCTGACAGCTTGTTTTATTCTCTTTACTGTAGCTGTCAAGTGATTACAATTTTAGGTTGGCATTATACAGAAGCGCTATTCTGCCAAACCAGATCAGCAGTGTGCTACAGCTAAATGCTGGGAGTTACATAAACATATTTGTTTTATGACCTCAAACAAATAAGGTAATACAAATACTTCTCTTGCCTGATACTCAGCAAGTTTCAACTGAAAAGTGGATTGTGCTTTCAGCAATTAACCTGCCACAGCCATGTAAAATGGTGGACACAGTTCCTGTTTTGTCTTGGACAAAAGAAACGTAAAGAAGAAAAGAAAATATATATAATTATGAGGGTTTAAAATAAAGCAAAAACATCTAATCATAACCCTTAAAACCACTGCACTATAACTACATAATCAAAATATGGGATGAAGAAAGGGATGTGGAAAGAGATCAAGCATTTATATTGGCGGTGAAAGAAGCTTGTCAGCTAGCACAAACAGCACGCAAACACTTAATGTAAGTTACACTTGTTTTTCTGTAAAACATTAATTTTTTTTATTAGTAACACAAGTTCTCATTAACAAGTTGTTCCATGAATACATTACTTATATTTACACACCACATTAACACTACTTTTATAGATTCCATCTCTCATTAAAATGCCCCTGAACAATTTAAAATGAAACTGGAGTGAAACTGTTCACTAATAATGCATCTGAATATTTAAAAAAAATATCTCCACGTCACAGGTCTATTTGGAACACTGAAAAAGAACATTTAATGTAACACTCCACCGACATAAGGGATCTGCTCTATTATTAGTGTTATTTGTTTAAAACTTTATCTTTGTTTCCTCCAGTAAGTTCATTAAATTGTTCACAAACATTCCATTAGTTCTGCATGGAGCAGGAAATTGCTTGCTTACATCACATGACTGTTAATACTTATTTATCTAGCACATGCCTTTAAAAGGATCAAATACACACGCATACACACATTTTTGCATTAATTCGTACTTACTAATAATTCTCCCTGTATTCATTCACACATAAACAAATATTGAATTTCTAAACCTTTCTCTTCTGTCTGCTGGTTGGAAGTGAAATCAACTTTGTTTCAGCCATATTAAAACTATGGCTGTATGGAAGAATTTTCAAAACATTAAACTAAACCCAGCAGAAGTATGGTGAAACCTACTACAAAGCGTAGGATTATTAGCTGGGGATGTCAATTTCTCAAACAAAATATCTTGTGCTTGAAAACGATAATGCATCATGCATAAATATTTTTATTCTGTGGGATATAAATAACAGTAGGCAATAATAATGATTCACAACACACAAGAGTAAATCCAAACCACTCCATTATTCACAGCAGCAGTTTTAGCATGCAAAGGTGCAAGTAGGTGCATGTGGCACAGGCGTGGACAGACAGGCTCAGCCACAGGATAGGATTGAGGCACAGAAGGTACAGAGCTGGCCACGAAGTGGATGGATGGCTTCATGTATGTTCCAAATCAGAAAATCAAAAATGTACTGTAAAAACAAAAATATGAAAAAATTTTCTTATCCATCCATATTTTCCACATTCCCCTTGCATTTTCCCAATGTGAACAACTTTCTGAAGCCATGTTTCCTTTTTCCCCATCCCTTTGTAATTCCTTTTCTGCTTGAAGGCCACACCATTTTCCCACCTGGACTGATAATTAAACTATGACTGCAACAATAAATCATGCAATACAAAATACAGACTGGGGTAACTTAACATTCTCAAACAAAGAACTGTCAAAACAGGAAGTACTATTTAAAATAATTCTGCCACCATTCTTCAGCAATCAGAAGTATTTCTCAAAACTTCCACTTTTCACTGATATGTATATCAATATCTAGTAATAGTTTAATAACAATAATTTAATTGTTGAATATACAGCTAAACATAAAAGAACTAAATGGAACAAAAGTGCACTTGTCCGGCATTATTATCTAAGTGAACAACATCTCTTCAAGGGGACCTTGTGATCCCGCACAAAGTTCCTGAAGAGCGTGCTATTAAAAATAAATAATTGTTATGCATGTCACTCTTCTTATCCCCAGAAGTGAACTGGACAAATCTGCTGCAATCACATGGGTTACATCATGCCTCTTCATACAAATAATTTGGTTTGTGATACAAAACCATTACTGAACAGATTTTTTTGTAAAGCAAAATGGTAGACATGATGCACTACCCATAAAAGATGTTTCCTGTTTCATATAAATATATATATGCGTGTATGCTGTCAGTAAATCCCACCCTCCCCATCAACCCCATGGCTAACCCCACTAAAATTATTGTCAGGATATAATATAATAAGGGCTCTGCCTAAAACATTATATACACAAGTAAGCAAAAATTGGACAGCTGTCAGAACCATTTCTAGAGAAAAATTATGGAACAAACTAGGTGTAAAAAACAAAATGACCATGTGACAAAAAGTGGCGAGTCTTAAAAAGGCACTTCTCTACTAATTACAAAATAAATTCCTTTACATTTATAAAAATGTAAAGGTGTAAATGTTATCAAAACATACTCATAACACAAGGTTATTTGGTGCAGCACGAAAACACCTTTCTGGAAGCAGGTCGAGTTTTGTACTGATCACTTGTACGGGGAAAACACGTTGATCCCTCGTTTCTGAGCAACATTTTCCTTATATGTTCGGGGAAGGAAAATGCACCCCTCGACCCTGTTCTCCACTCAACCACTCCACACCCTGCCGCAGATCCACTGTCACTTAATACTGCCTCTGCAGTCACTCACTGTGACCAAAGCACCGGCTCACTCCATGCTTGGCATAGGGAGGGTGTTAAGGTTAAACTGTTCCAAACCAAATCTCTGTCGATTGAGACTGTTTCTCTCTTGCCATATTTTATATTAATTTATAAGTTAATGTTCAAAAGTCCAGGGGTGAAGTAGTATTTAATTGTGGCTGGTTTTGGGTGGCAAAAATTCACATTCACTATTATTTCCTAAAGGGGGCCGAAAAATATCAAGGCAAAGAACGCCCACCACATAAGTACAATCCAGTGCAGGGTATAAATCATGTTCTCACCATCAGTGAACTTTCTGGCAACAAACTTGAGTGTTTCATCAAGCAGCACAACAGGGATGGAGAATTTCATGACAGTGATCCACTCCTCAACATCAAGAGGTGTTACCTGGAAAACAGTCTGACAACAAAACACAACAAAAGTCAATGTATGTCCTCTCATTTCAGAAAAAATAAATATGACAAATATGCTTCATGCAATAACAAAAACTGTACCTGGCATGAAAACATGAACACATATGACTCTGGTGAGGAAAAAAAAACCTTACAAGAAACTATATGGGACAAACAGGTCTTCTACTTTATCAAATTCAATCAGGAACCTTAACTAGTCATGACTAATGTCGATACTAATGGCTGTTCTGTTTTTTGTGAACTTCAACAGCCACTTGTTCATACTGTGGATGTAATATCCTTCTCCCAATGTGTCTATTAATGCCTTCCATCAACAAATTTTCTCACACAATGTGTGAAATTCACCTTACCAGGTTTTCCTTTGGGCAACAGCAACAGAAAATTAACAAGTGGAATTCTCATTATCCTCTTCTGAACCTAATATCAAGCTTGTTGTAACAATACAGTTCAATGTTACATAACAATGAAGCAGACTAGTCTTCAGCTTCAGATCAAAGCTGACACAGTTAACAATATCTTACATAGGTACCAGGACCAATCAAAGTCTGGGTCCTTTACAATTCTGAGCAGAACACATGCATGCTGTAAAATAACAAGAATTCTAGTGCCCCTGAACAGATGTTTACCAGCTCTGAAAACCATTGTATCTATTTTAAACAGTTTTTTTTTAATTTGTACTGCCCTCAGAAAATAAGGATTCAAGAGGCTGTTCTTTTATGGTGTATAACGAATTTGAAACCTGCAAACAATGAGGAAGTTTGGATGAATCTAATCCTTACTACAACCAGCAATAAATCAACATTACAAACAAACTGGGAAAAATTGAGATTCATGTAACAAAAGTAGCTCAACAATTTCGCTTGATGAGTTGTCTGTATCTTTCAGTTCCTTCATAACATTTTACTAATGTAATTATAAATATGTAGTAATAACTTACGGACAGGATCTCAACATAAAGGATGACAAAGTGCAGAGTAAAAGACAAGACCATGGATCCCATCAGCCACAAATTGCACCATGGGGGCATCGCAATCAGTGACTGGTTCTCAGACAAGCTGCAAGAAGCGAACATTTTGTCAAAATAAAACATCCTTCATCTGAATCTGATTATATGCATCAATGTGTAGAGAGACAGGACCTCGCGACAACAAACACAGGACATGTGATACAAAGATGAAAGTGGTAGATGTTCACTTAGGAATTTAACCTGCAATGTCAAGATTAAAGATTTAGTCATGTAAGAATTACATATACCAGTGTGGAAATGTCATTTTTAATTTTACAAGGTACTGAGGAATTTAATATTGAAGAGTCGTATCTTCTGGGATATGTCATGTAGTTCACTAACAGTCAACTGACATTTTGAAGGAACATGCTGCCTGCATTTTCGGGGTCTAAGAATAAGCCAAGAAAGAAAAGAGCATGAAGCAGGAGTAAGCAGAGCTACAGATACCTAAAGATGGAGGCAACATGTTATTTCAGAATGTCAGCTGCCTTTCAATGGACCACAAGGCAGAATGCTTCATAATGACCAATGTGAGAACCTCGAAACCTGTAATATTCCTCCAATACATAGTTCTTCATTGTTTAGTATTCAACTTCAATTTCCCTAGGCAATTACCTGCCTTATGCACCATTTAGTTTAAACAGCTATATAAATTTTAATTTCTGTGATTTTACATTCATTTTAATTGCTCCCTTCAGAAACATAAAATCCATGTAACATTAAGTGTTGTCACCTGTTCATGGCATTGAGCATCTCAATGGTGACCAGTACAGACAAAGCCATGGTCATGGGATGGGGGTCACTGAAAACATGGCAGTCGACTCCCTTGAACTCCTCTCCTTCAGCAATGCAAGCAAGATGGTGAGTCTGCAAGGAATATATCAATACATATACAAACTTTAATGCATCACGAAAACTGCAATATGAATGACACTCTTTTCCATAATGTTCCCTGTTATGGCCTTCTGGCTTTTCTGGTGAGCACATCCATGTGAGGTGGGAGGTGTCAATCCTCCTGACTATGGCTGGCACAAAGGGCTACTGAATGACTCCAGAAGCCTGGTATTTCCCATGTTCACAAACTTCTGAAGGATGGGAAAATTCATTTGCATGAAAGAGTTGAATTTATCATGCACAGTAAAGAATTTATATAATGTTTCAAGCAAATCAATTTCAAATTAAAGAATAAACACTCTTCAAACTTACAATGCAGGGTAAGACAAAACTGGACCTCCAAACATCCTGTATGAATTTGACATATACCCACACAATACAGCCTTCAATGCAGCTTCACAAGTCATTGGTTGGATTACCAGTTAGCCAACAACATGTTTTGACCACATGGGCCCATCATCACGTACATATGATGATCTATGTAAATTGTCATACAGTAATATAGTATTACATGGCCTGTGAGGGCTGCATGCCTAAAAAGTTTTCTATTTGACCAATTTTTGGTAACTGTTAAATTTAATATGCAAAATGTTTTTAAACTTTTAAAATGACATAAAAAGGTGTATGCGTGCCATGGCACTCTTCATAGGTTCTGCATTATGTTTATTATGAAGATGTGTTTTTTCTGGATGTCCTGGTTACCGTGAGTGCGTGTATCAAGCGATTAAGTGGTGCAGCAGGATGCTTAAATACAATAGTTTTTAATCTGCTAATATACAAACAGACCAGCGATCAAGAAAAGGCCAATGATAATATCACTCACCACTTGATAATAGTTCAATCCAGGTCCGTGTGGGCTCAACATGAACCACCACGCAGCAGCGCCCACTGTTGCAGCACCTACATAACCTCCAATAGCTAGGTAACGGAAAAACAGCCAGCCAGAGATCAGGGACTCATCACTCTTACGTGGAGGCTGGAAAGAAGCATACATGACAAAATCCTCATTTCCACAATAGCCATCCTGCCATTTAACAAGCTGAGCTTTCCAGGTTCTGAATATCAGAGTACACTTGAAACACCCAGTCCTTCACTTCAAAGGAGAAAAAGAAGTTTGCTATAAATCAGTATTAACAGTATTCACAGACATTAACTACACTAATGAAAAGAAGAAACATAAATAAGGAAATATACCAGAAAAAGAAATTCCCAGGTGCATCTGCAATATGCTTACATTACACCACATTGTAGGAAACAAATATTTGTATAAAGCAAAATTGTCTTAGGCTACAGTATTCTTAAGTGACTAGTAGGCAGCTGTATTCAAGTAGCTATGATCATGAACACGGAAAGACTTAAAGGAAGTATTTCATGTAATGTAATCTTCATATTATTAGCCAGATTTCTACCTTGGACATAATGTCGAGATCTGGAGGGTTGAAGCCCAGGGCAGTGGCAGGAAGACCATCTGTTACCAAGTTGACCCAAAGCAGCTGGACAGGGATCAGAGCCTCAGGAAGACCTAATGCAGCAGTCAGGAAAATACTGTAACAAACAGAACAATGCTACTTTAGTAAGAACTCCACGGTCAGTAATGAGACAGGCTGAGGTTCGATTCCTTGCTGCAACTTCAGAAACCTTCTCTTTACCAGCACTTTTAGAACAGGCCTGGCATTCCCCAAGTAAGTCCTTGCAACTCTTTTCTTATGTACACAGGCAAAATGGGGCATTAAGCTGAGTGCTCACCTCCACTTAGTGTAGGGGTTAAAAACATATAGCGCAAAACCTCATTAATTCAATATCAGTTACTTCAAAACACTCACTGATTAAAAGAAATGAAATTCCTCAGCTTAAGGTACAGTTTTTAACATGTCTTAGTTGGAAAAACAGGTACATTTAATTAAATGGTGCATCCCAGCCCAGCAATGGCTTCTTTTAATTATTCAAAATCACTTCTGTGTAATTTCTGGGGGGTGGGGGTGGGTTCATAGCACTTTGTGCACCCCTGAAATCCTTCTAGCTGTGGGACAATGTGGGCGGCCTTCATCATGCAGAAGGGGAGGGGGGTAGTAGCAGCAAGTCTTCATGTGTCACTTTAGTAGGGGGCCAGAAAGAATAACCATAGTGTTAGGGATGTGTACATAACATAAACTTTCAGCTGAATCGTTCACATGATTGGTATTCATACCCCAGTCCATCCACTAGTTTGAAACATCAGTGGAAAGAAGGTAAAAAAAGTTAATTTGTATAATCATGGACAATAAAGTTGGTAGAATGACACATACCTTACGACTTCACCTATGTTTGAAGAGATCAGGTATCGAATGAACTGTTTCATGTTGTTGTAGATGGCTCGGCCTTCCTCAACAGCAGCCACAATAGAAGAGAAGTTGTCATCAGCCAGCACCATCTCAGAAGCAGACTTGGCCACAGCAGTTCCAGAGCCCATGGCAATGCCAATTTCAGCCTTCTTCAGGGCAGGTGCATCATTCACACCATCACCAGTCTGTGAAGTGATCAATCGGACTGACAAGCAATGAACAATGGAGATATGAACACTAAATTGATGAAATACTAAAGAAAAGGGCATTTAATACTGAGAAAACTGGGTCTAATGAGGGGTCCTCGCAATATGGCACAGACTGAGTGCACGCCAGCCAGAGAAACAGAATGCTGAGCATTTCCAGATGGTCACAGCTCCTTTAATGCTAGCCTAGCATTCAGTTTCCTCAACAGTACGGTAAAACCTAAATATGCCATAGGACAGTGAGTTGTTGAAGGAAGCATTCCTGACTGGTGGTGACTGCCTTTTTGAGGGATTTTTTCCTTTATCAAGCAGAATATTATGTAAGCGACACAAGACTTCCAGTTATAACAACATGGTCATGATGATGATTCAAGTAATTTCAAGTGACATACAAACCCAACAAAAGAGTGATTTTGAAATTTGTGATTGGTTCTCATTTAAATTTGATGAGCCAATAGATATAAGACACAGCAGCTGGAAAGCATGGTGAGGATGGCATTTAGTGATTTCACCGTAAAAGAAGAGCTACTGAGAGTACTGCTTATGAAAAGGTGAACAAAAGGTGAGAATATTTAATAATACATTCAAAACACATGCCGTGGAAATGAGCATGTCTGTGACCACTACTGATGGTATGCCACAAAGTGTATTTATTGCCCACTGCAAGAAGGATAAATCCTTTCTGTATGTCACATCTTAGAGCTGTGATATCCATCATGAAGCTTTGTGTTAAATGTATTTCTGCTCTGACATGCATATTCTGTATTATACATTAATCTAATCCCTTTACACCCTTAGACACATCTCATCTGGAAGTTTAGGTAACAATCAGAAAAACAGGTATACAGATTTGGAATTAGTAATTACATGATGGAACACATCCTCTGTGTGTTCACAGACCAGTGACAAAATGCACTATGACCTGCAAGATTTATGTAAGTTGTCTAACGTCGCTGGTGGGCCATCATTACAGATGGACAGATGATGAATGAAGATGAACACACAGAACAAATGCTTTGACACAGCAGAACTTGGGTGTGACATAGAAACATCAACAAGAAACGGCTCTCAAACACCCCATCATAATTTAATACCATAACACAACATGGCCAAAACGTTTATGGACTCAAAGAGACCTACAAGGAAACTTCATAAGCATATGTAAAAACTAATCTGGGACCAAAATTTATCTCACCATGGCAGAAATTTCATTCATGCTTTGCAGGAACTCCACAATCTTGGACTTATGTGCAGGCTCTACTCTAGAGAACAGCCTGGCTCGGGCAACAGCAGACTTCTGCTCACTACTTGGCAGATCATCAAATTCACGGCCAGAATATGACTTTCCAGTTGTGTCCTCATCCTCTCCAAAAACACCAATTCTGCGGCAGATGGCTTCAGCAGTGGCCTGAATTTACCATTAATAAAATGTGGGTTAGTTCTGTGTCGACACATTACAATAATGATGTTTTGAGATAACCTCATGTTCAAATCCAGAAGTTGAAATATCCTCTACAGCAGGCATGTCCAACGTGTCGATCGCGGGACGATTTTTGGTCGATCTCATAGGCCTATAAGGAAATTATACTTGAAAAGCATGTAAATTCACTTGCAATATAATATGATTATATTCAGATTCTGAAGGGAAAATACATATTAGTCATTCCTGTTTTTCTTTTCTTATGTAGCTTATGCGAAAATTGCTTTACACTTGTGTTAAGTGAACTGTGGGGAAATCCCTACTCTATCCTTAACATGTTAACTCTTATTTCATCGCTCGTCGTAAGTTTCGTAAGTGTCTGTGTGCATGTTTCAGATAAAACAGTTACCTCAATATAGTGGGAAATGCAACACCTCAGTATCCTTGCCAAAAAGGGTAATCTGGAACGTCATTATAATGCTCTTCATAGCAATAAGTATGGTGCTGATTTTCCACCCAAAAGTGAAATTCTTAAACTTAAGCTCAAAGAGCTTAAATTGAAATTAGCTGCCCAACAACAGTTGAGGGCAAAACCAAGGTCACTTTCTAACAATGCAACCAAATCATCTTTCAAGGTCAGCAATCTGATTGTTAAAAAAATGCAAACCTTTCACTGAAGTGGAATTTGTAAAAAGAGTGTTTTCTTGAAATAGCTGATAATCTTCTTGAAGGATTTAAAAATAAGAAAGAGATCATAGCTATTATTCAAGATCTTCAATTATCAAGAAACACCATTGTGCGATGCATAGAAATGATGTGTGGAAACATAACTGAACGGTTGCTGAAAGATGTTTCCAATTGTGTTGCTTTCTCCCTCCAACTGGATACAGCTACAGACATCAGAGAGACAGCCCAGTTACTAGTTCCTTTCACAACAAACATCATGTGTCGTGTTGTCTTTACCAATATTTTTGCTTAAAGCGAGGTACGACGATAGGAGGGGGTGGTAGATCACTGGAAGTTCTGACACTAAAATGTCGATCACAACCTGTTTAAGTTGGACAAGCCTGCTCTACAGTATGCACACTCATAACAATGAAATGATTTACCTGAAATATCTCTAAGATAGTTCATGGAAGTTATGTAATTAGTGATTATTGCCTGTTTGAAAATTAGGAAAGCTGAAAAGGTTAACTATATACTTGAGCAGGTGTATTTGTATGATGGTTTCACTGCTATGGACCAATAATACTTAATACAGCTAGAAGGGAAACTAAATGATATATTTCTTTTTCTCGTGGGGTGATTGAACCCACTTGGTACTGTGGCCACAGCTTGGCCTACTGTACCAGCCCCACATGACAGAAGATGATTGTGGAGCAATTGGTGGAATTTGAATTGGCAGGGGAAAAGGAATTACTCGAAGAAAACCTGCTCCAGTGCCACTTTGTCCACCACAAATCCCACATAACCTGACTTGGGCTTGACCTTGGCCATTGCAGTAGGAAGTTGGTGTTTAACCATGTGAGCTAGGGCATGGCCCGCAAATGACATAGTTGTTACCAGCTTTAACTGTTTAACTGATATATTTTTTGATGTAGTAGGCCAGTTGCTACTGCTAGGTTCTTCAGACTTTTTTATGGTCTTTGTAAGAAGGCTAGCATAGCATATTTATATGCCAAAAGTGTCTTCAGTCCATCTATATTTGAGAATGCATGGTGTTTCAAATGCTAGCACCTGACTCTAAAACTGGCCAACAAGGAAGCTAAAATCAGTGAAAAGAGAAACCTATGCAGCAACACTATGATGAGTTCTCCAAGCGAAAAAGGTAACAGTGTCCAAAAACACATTCTGATCTGAGAATACAAATGTTACCTTATTATCACCAGTGATGACAATGACACGGATACCAGCTGCACGACACCTCTGGATTGAGTCAAACACTTCCTTGCGGGGAGGGTCCAACATTCCCACAACACCAACGAAGGTCAAGTTTACTTCATATGTATAGAACTTGGAAGAGTCACCTAAATCCATGTCCTCAGGCTTCAGTGGGTTATCGGCAGTTGCAAGAGCCAAACAGCGAAGGGTGTCACGGCCAGTGCCGTACTGCCGTGTGAGGTCAAGAATGCGGTTCTTCAGTGTTGCACTCAAAGGCACCTGATACACAACATTTGTTAATTCTGAGCACAGAAAAACTCTTCAAATTAGCATTGATTAATTCAGATTAATCATTACAAAATAATTACTAACATCGCAAGAATAATAACCGTAATAGTATACAGGTACGTCACAGTCAAGAGCTACAAATTTAGTAAGCTACAATGGTCCAGCTATTTTCACTGTATAAAAAATGTTGGATACAAAATGCGTACTTTATTAACAGTTAAAAGTTCTCTGCTAAAACCCTTTAATTAAGTGTTTAGGGAAATGTGTTGGAAATGAAGGCTATAAGCAAAGTGGTAACTTGTGCTGTCCAACAAGTAAAAATACTGAATTTGTTAATTTTATTGTCATTTATATCTACATATTTCTTAACAATTGTGTTCTTCAGATTCAGGGCGAATAAGGATTCAGAAGATCACCTAGATCAGCAAGTGAGTAATGTTTAAATTTTGTTGAGCAGGACTATTTGCCTATTCATGTGTGACAAAAAGGAACACTTTAAAATCATTAGTAAATAACTGATCAAATAATATCTGTTGTGGACAGAACTGAGACTGCTATTAAGATAATGCAAATATTAAACAGTCTATTAGTAATGGTGAAGTAATAAAACAAATATGCTGTATGAATGTACTGGCAGTTCCCAAAAAATGAATTGCTACAATTCACTGCAGAGTGAGGCTATGGTTCTCTTTCTACTAATACAACACAGTTACAAGATCAGTCATTCATGCTTCTGTGGATAATAGAAGAGGAAGAAGAAGAAATAAAAGCCCAAAGTGAATATCTGATACTTCAATATCAACTTTATCAAGTAACATTATAATTTACTAACATGAAATCCATGATGTTAGCGTATGCATAATATATGATGTGATCTGGTCTGCACAGATGCAATATGTTCTCTCTTACTTCAAGAGAACATCCAATACACGTGCCTAAAAAAAGTAGTACACAGGAAGGACCCAATATCCATGCGGGAAATTCAGGATATCACATAACCATGAGCTGTGCAGTTTATAAAGGCTATCTAGTATTATTAGCTATTATGAATTAAGACATTCAGCTAGGATGCGGAAGACTTCATGGCTCAGGACCATGTTTGGTGCTAGACTTTGGTATCTGTGGTTTTAAACTTTCCAGTTCTACAACCATAATGTTAATTATTTTAAATGAGAGGTCCTCAATTTCAGAAACTTGACATTTAATGAAACAAAACTTATACCTTCTGTGTCCCAACTCGGGCGTGGGTGCAGCGCTCCAGCACTCCCTCAGGTGCTCCCTTCACAAAAAGCTTGGGCCCATTGCCAAGACGAGTTGGCTTCAGTGGTACGCAATAAGAAGACATGGATTTGCGGTCTCGGGAGAACTCGAGTGTAAACTCCTTCTTCCACTTGGTCTCCATATCTTGCCTGACAGCAATTGCAGATGCACGGCGATCCAGTCCCTGTTTGGGCACAGCGTATGGGTTGATCTTCTCAGCCAGAACAATTAGAGCAGTTTCAGTGGCCTCGCCAACCTTCTCAAAAGCCTGCTTGAACTCATTGAAGTCAATTGCAGAGTCATTGCACATAATACCAATGGTTCCAATCTCATGAAGACCCTCAAAGTCTGTACCCTTAATCTTCTGGCCACGGAGGAATACATCACCAATAGGTTCGTATGTTGAACCAGTGATCTCAAATTCATGGAATGAGCTGTCATTACCTTCAATCTTCTCGAAAACGAACATGCTGTAAATAAAAAACAGACAACACATTTCACGAAACTCATGTGACAAAGCAGAGATAAACAAAAGAAACAAATAACAGGGAATTCAATTACTATCTATTACAAAAATGAATAAATCACCCAAACATTTTCTGACTCTTAAAAACCTTATTAGACTGTTCTACAATTTTATGACCCTTAAGGGGGACCACAGTTTCCAATGGTTAATACCAATTTAGCATCATTCATATTGTGCTTAAAATATATAAAATTACAGCATTACAGTTGATTTCACGGAAGATTATAATTCATACTGTATTCTGGGATGTAATGCTGTACAGTCTGGTAGAAGCTCCATGACATTTTGGAAGAATGTACTGCCTCCGTCTTCTGAGTGGAACAACAGGCAAAGCAACCATCAGGAAGCTAGCAGCAAGCAGAAAACTCTTGATTTGGGTGAGAAATTCATTTTACTGAACAAGTACTGATCAGTGTTACCCACCGGCTAACAGACATCTGATTTGTGGTTAATGTGCCAGTCTTATCTGAGCAAATGACAGATGTGCAGCCCAGAGTTTCTACGGAGGGCAGGGAGCGCACAATGGCATTCTTCTTTGCCATACGTCGTGTTCCCAGGGCCAAACAGGTGGTGATAACAGCTGGCAAACCCTCAGGGATGGCAGCAACAGCCAGGGCAACAGCAATCTTGAAGTAGTATACTGCACCCTGCATGGAACAAAAATGGCTGGCTATAGCAAAGGTGACAGTACGCATTTCAAACACCACTTCCATACACCGATACTTAAAACGTCCATTTTTTTTAATTTACATCAGATATGTGCTTGGTACAGATTTCTGCTATATTAAATCATGAGCTCAACAAAATGCTGATCTTCTTTAAAGCCAGAATGTTTTACTTTGCTCATTTTTAGAGTTTTAAGAAACCAAGACTGAGGAACAAAGTACGGAGATCTATAAAATCTTTTCTATGGTACAGGGTGAAAATTTTATTCACATTTCAGGTCAGAGAATGTTAGTATTTCAATTCATATCAAACACCAACCTTAATCCAGGAACCACCATGAGCCGGGTCATTGAAATGTCCAATGTTGATAGCCCACACAGCAACACAGATGACAGAAATAACCTTGGACAGTTGTTCCCCAAATTCATCCAGTTTCTGCTGCAAAGGGGTCTTGATTTCTTCAGTCTCAGACATCTCAGTTCTGATCTTGCCTGATTAATGACAAAATTCATCAATGATGATGATGAACTTCATGATCATGACATAAATTACACAACAACACAGCTCTGGCACAACCTTCTTCAAGGCAACTGCAATAAATGCCATCCTTCAAAGACAGGAAAATCACAAAGTGAGACTGCTAGAACTGGACTCCAGTATCAAAATGATGTCTTGGTTCTTTTTCTTCTGCGTGATCACATCCCTAGAATGGAGGGAAGAATGTGGGTGGGGGCACAAAACTGATACAAATTTATGAAACAACAAAGCAATGGTTTTCATGTTGGGGGCAGGGGGATTGCAACAGTTTCACTACAAATTGCCATCAACTGTCTGACTCATAACTTTGCATTTTCATGGCAAGAATCTGAAACATCTGGCATCTGCATCATCCAGCTGACGTATGGAAATAAGCAATGAGAAATGAAGAATGTGAAATTGAAACAGATCACATGATCCTCAAAATGAAAGTGAGAGGAAATGTATGCATGCAAACACATGAACAAGCAGTAGTAATAAAAACAGAAGTTTCTTCTGACTTGTTTCATCTCTTCCATGGTCTTCCTTTGCCTCAGCATCTATTTTGTTTTTATACTGGAAAGACTTGAAAGGATTCTGACGATGGTGTATACTGTACTTCTTTCGGCTTATTTTGGATTTCATCCATCGTCTGGTATGTAAAAGACAAAAGACCATACCAGACGATGGATGAAGTCCAAAATAAGCCAAAAGAAGTAGTTTTTATACTGTCAAATCTGTTTTGATGTTCTCTCATCATTCTACTGTATCTACTAGATGGTTTGTATCACTCTGTATTTATTTTTATTTCCATGCCTTTCCTACAATCTTATATCTTAATCCTTCAGCTATCCAAGATCAATTGTTTGCTGGTGTTGCCCAGACTGCCTACCTTCATTCAAGCCAAATAATAAAATGGTCAGAAGAAAACGAAATACTTCTCTTTCAGAACACAAATTTCAGATGTAGCCTTTTTCTTCTGTAGCTAGATGCTGCGTGTATCTCTCTTGTGGTTCTACGGATGCATGAACATAGCTTGCTACTAACAAACTGATGGTGTACAGCAGGAGGGGGGAGCTACGAATGAAAGTGTCAAAATAAAATCTGCTCTGGTCTGGTCCAGTGCCAACTTTTAACTGTTCTCAAGTATCTCAGTTCTTTTGACTATGTCCTGTATTACAACACTTCTTCTACATATACAATGAACGTTTTAAGCTGACACAATCATAATACAAAAATCTACACAAACAATCCAATTTTTCTTTTTTCTAACCCACAGTCTACTGTATGGTACACAATGACTCGTAAAGGTAAAGCTGTCCCAGAGCTTAACTAATTAAGCACTAAGCCATGAAGACATATGGGGGAATGGATGTATAGACCCACTTTTTCTTGACCTCGGCACTAATTGGACCTACCAGAGTCATCTCCACAGAAACACTGATGCCCTCCTGACAACTAAATCCTGGTCATCCAGCATGTAGCCAAGCTGACCCAGCTCACCACCCCTAACAAGGCGGTTTCTTAATATGTGCACAGAACCAGTTCTTTGGTTATTTGCTTTTCAGCTGCACTGGAACAAAGCAGTGATTGCCTGCTCTAAGGTGTTATAAGAGCTCTGCTCCAACTGAAAGGGGGAGGTCCCTACTCAGAACCTCCTAAATATGAAGGAGTGCCAACTACTGAAAAGGGCTAGAAGAATATCTTAACAGATCTTGAGATCTATGAATAATGCTGCAGCTGATCATTACCAATGGCAGTGTTAAGGCCAGTTCCAATCACAACACCACGAGCTTTGCCGGCAGCAACATTGGTGCCAGAGAAAAGAATGTTCTTCTTGTCCTGCAACAGAAGGAAATGACTTTAATATGGATTCTATAGCCACACCTTTTTTCAAACCTGAAAAAATTATCATAAGAAAAGGATAATCCAACTGTGTTATGAGCGCATACAGTGAAGAATCTGAGGCTTCACCTGCCTCATTACCTAACAAAGTTACTGTACCTTAAAAGGAAATTGAGGTATGTCAAGACATGAAGGATTTGAAAATTTGCTCATACTGTGGCACCGGCAATGAGATCTGAAATGTTCTTGTTAACAGACAAAGAGAACACTGAAATTACACAGCGTCAAACTTAAGAAATGTTACAGTATTTCACATAAAAATGTGTTTGCTGTGAGTGCAGACAATGTAGAACTCTGGAAGGCTGTGAATCAGGGCTCCTTAGGATTCGTTTTCAGCAAATTCTTTAGTATGAAAGGGGAACAAAGATCCCAGATCTACTGACATAACTACATATACTGGTTTGTAAAGTCTCCACTAAGTATATTCTGGAGTTCTACATTATCATGCACTGTTTCCAGTGTAGAAGTAGCAAGCCCTAAAGTTATTAGTAATTTTCTTCAGCATCAAACATCAAAACATATTGCAACTTGCAACTGAACTCCATGGCCACTTTTCAGACATCTTAAATAGGTATAATACATTGCATAACCTCAAATAAGGCAAAAATAACAACCAACAATCGTGTGGTACCTCCAACAGAGGCATCACACAACAATACAGGAAACTGTCTTTTCTGTGTGTTGGTCCATGCAGTGGCTACATAACGTGAGTCCGCTTGTAGCCAGTTCAATTGGGAGAACTGGACCAGCAGATGAGTTCAGTTATTGGTAGGAAATAGCCATGGGAAGTTGCTTGGGAAGACTTAGTGTGTGATCAGAAGATTTAGTCACAGTGAGACTGTTTTAATTCTGTTACCAGGAGATCACTGACAAAAGTGCATATGTAATCTGATTTTCTTAAGAAATTATCACTTCTTAAGGCCTTTAGTGGTGATTTAAATTAATTTCGGTTCTAGAAAGTAAAAAATACATCATGTTTGCACTCATAAGCTGTAACAGACAATTATATACAGTACTACAACCTTCAGAGAAAAACTACAAGCAATAACTGTCTCACAGCCCTGAGAAGCATCAGGATACTGCAAACACAGAAGTACATACAGCCTAAAAGTTTATATACTGAATAGGAAAAGCGGCCTCCGTAGTCTAGGGGTAACGTTCCCACCTCATGACTCAAGGTACACGGGTTCAAACTCGGGGGAGGTTGTGGAATTTTTAAGGGCAGAAAAATTCAGGGAACAAGTCCTTCGTGAGGGACTTTAAGCCGTGGGTCCCATGTCGTAGCTTTGCGGCGTGTAAAAGAACCTCATGTCTCCAAAGGAGGCCACTGAGCTAAATTAAGGGCATTTCCCACCCAACAGTAGTCTCTAATGCCTCTGGTAGATGGGGGAAGCATTGAGATACCTCTGAGCCAGTAGAGGCCGACCTCGCTGGCTGAGTAGGGACTGATGGTAAGCACCAGTACCAGTAGGGAATAGAGGCTGGTAGAAGATCACAGGGGGACGCACAATAGATCAAACTGGTCGCGGTGCATGGGGAAACCCACCCCCTCCAATAATAATAATAAATACTGAATAGGAACAGAGAGTGAAGCACAGGGAAGTTCTATGTCAATGAGGAGATAAAAATAAATTGCTGTAGCTGAATTTGTTACACTTCTTAATTTTGTGTTTAGAAAATTTTAATACATCCAAAGTTTCAGAAGGTTAATAATGACAATGTTAGGCATATTTTATAATGTCCAAAGGCGTGAAATTCTCTAATCTGTCAAAAACAATGGAATGAAGAGGATTTACGAAATGATTCTGTGCTAACTTTCATTGCTCCATCATTCTTCTGTGACTGCTGGACAGTTTTCATCTGATACGTACCTGGTTCACAGCTCGGGGATCAGGGACAGGGTCAGTGTGCTTGATGACAGATACAGACTCTCCTGTCAGGATGGACTGGTCAATTCTCAAAGTGGTAGAGAAGATCTTGATCAAGCGAATATCAGCAGGAATCTTGTCACCAACTGCAAAATGATAATCATCATATTAATATAAAAACTGTGATATTACATTAACATACTGGGCACTGATCATTTGAATTCTTTATCTTAATAGAAAGAACAGGGACTGATAATAGAATGTTTTCATGTATGTAACTATCTGTGATCTGTGACTGACTTCTGCTCTCAATGTGCAAATTCCATTGAAAACACATGGCTTGAATCATTTTAGGCTGTTGTATTTTATATTTCAGAAATAGTGTTTAAAAGTAAAAAGTAAAGTTGTCCCTGTGCTTAATTAATTAAACACTCTGTCATAATGGTGTATGGGGGAGTGGATGTATAGATCAACATTTTCTTGATGTCGGCACTAGTTGGAGGTCAGTGGTCAGCTTCACGCTCTGACCGCTGTACCCCCGGGGGAAGAACCCCTGGTACCCATTGGATAGGAGACTGCGTGGTCCCCAGAGCCGGTCTAGACGAAGTGGAGAAGTAAAAATTCTTTCCGGCATTGGGACTTGAATTCTGACCCCTTGGTCATCCAGCCTGTAGCCAGTCGCTATACCGACCGCACTATCCTGGCTCTTAACCTTCATACTAGCTGGAGGTGAATGGTCAGCTTCATGCCCGTCGCTTTACTCCCGGGGGAAAGAGCCCCCGTTACCCACTGGATAGGAGGTTGGGTGGGCCCCAGGGCCAGTCTGGACGATGTGGAGAAGAGAAAATTCTTAACCTTACAGCAACTTGAACTCTGACCCCTTGGCTGTCCAGCCTGTAGCCAGTCACTATACTTGTTACGCTGTCCATACTCAGTATTTAGCAAATTAAATTTAAATAAAGTATGTTTGTTTTTGTTGCTGGTCATCATTGCCTCCCAGGCTAATGACACAATGGTGGCTGTCATGATAAATGTCAGGGAAATATGGGGAAAAAAGTAACCACACTCAGTTTTGTGATAATACCTCAGGATTCACTTTGATGGCTGGAGAAAAATATGAAAATTCCAAAGCAGAATAATCAGTTACGAAATCTGATAGAGACTTCCATAATGAGAATTTAAAGATTAAATGATTTTCCAATCACTGGCATTATGTATTGTCCAGAATTTTAGCACAAATAATTTGGTGAAAACAATGGTGAAATTAGTGTAAGAAATAAAGGAATTACATAAAATCTCGTCTGGTATCGCTTTGCTCTTTACACATTTTAGCTGGGTGTTGAATCTGGAACTATCTGGTGATACAACTAAGTTTAAGCCATAAAGTTAACAGTTTACTCCTTACAAAAGCCTGAGCATCAACCCGTGAAGGCATGTAGGGAGTAAATAATTTCTGCTGTGCTGCAGCTGCCTATTCAGGGAAAGATCTTCAAGTCCACATAGGAGGCTGGTTTGCCCCAAGAATAATTTTGTATGCAACATAATTTGTTTCTGGGAATTGAATCCTGTTTGTAAAGTTCACAGTAAGTCAGTCAGCAGAGATGTTATCGCAGTTTACTTACAAAGACGGGCGTTCCAACTCACCTGACACTTCAACGACATCACCAGGGACAATCTCCTTGGCACGGATCTTTTGGACACCAGATTTGTCAGCTCTTACAACTTTGCCCATTTCAGGTTCATATTCTTTCAGCGCTTCAATGGCAGATTCTGCATTTCGCTCCTACAAATTCAGAATGAACAGTATCATTGAACCTGCATTAAATGGAAACTCACCTTAATCAAAACGTCTTGGGTGCCAAGAATAATAACTCCACAGAAAAGCCAAGAGTCCCTCAGCTACTCAGATAATTTCCTTGCATTCACTGAACCAGAATATTTATAGCCATGTTCACAAGTACCTTTCACTGAACTCTGTTCTGAAGTAGATGAATACAGTGCACACTCTTCAATCCCATTTATCTGAGATTATCCCATCCACACTTATGCCGTCCACTGGCGTTTCCTACCAAAACTTCACATGTGGTTCTCTCCCATGCAAACTACCCATACAGATACAAATATGAGAATTATATTTACCTGCCACACACCAACGATGGCATTAGCAATGAGAATAAGCAATATAACAAAGGGTTCAACAAAGGCGGTGATTTGGTCATCATGTTCTTCAAACAAAGCTAGAACCTGTAATGAAAGAAGTGTACGAAATGAGTTAGAGGCTGTCCTGAGGAACCCATGAAATGAACAAGTGTTTATTTACCCCAGGTCTTTCAAGTGACAGTTGGATTAGTTAACAGTGCATAGCAGAAGAGCTAGATTTATTTAAACACTGACCAGCAGGTATTTCAATACTGGCCTGAAAGTGTACATTAGTTCAACTAACATGAAAAATGTATTATTATGTGAATAAAGCCATTTGAAAGAGCATGGGGAAAAGTTATTTAAATGTAATACATCCTCTAATAAGGATATACTGGTGATCCTGATACTGATGATGCATAACTGGTGAAGGTTAACATAAGCAGGAACAGGAAAGAACAGAGAAAACAACATACAGTGCCATTCACACCAGTTTGTGGGGTAGGTACACAAAGTGAGATCTAGGGTTTTCAGGGTGAAATGTGACACTGCCAATGTTTTGTAGGAATGATGCTAAACATTCACCAAACTATGAGAACATGGCATCACATCCCAGCTGATAGCAATCTTGATAGCTAAACGGTTATCACTAAACTGAGTAATCAGGGGCTCTTAAACGAGCATTCTGAGGTCAATGGAGGGCACTGGGAGATCCTGCTGACACCAACAAAGAGAGAGGATCTTGCATGCATCAACAGAAGTGTTTCACACATGGAAATTTTCATAATCCAATTCATCTATTAACATTGATTTTAGATAACCTGGGGTTCAAACTGGCCAAGAGCAATGACACCCTTTCTTCAGTCACATCCATCAATGCATATCCCAAGCTTTAAATGATACTTGCATTAATGAAATCAGTGAAATAATTTTTGTGTTAATCCATCTACCTATGGGTCTACAGCTCTCGAGAACCTTGGCTGCTTTTCAGTTTCCTCATCTACACACAGTTGGTAGACTCCTTGGACGGGGTTTTGTGTTAATTACGTACTTTCTGAAGCCTGGACTTCAGTTCAGACTAGCGAAAATTAGAAAGCGAGTTGATTATACAGAGTGTCCAGATAAAAGGTATCCAAAATAAAATAATTATCTCCGAAAGCTTTTATTATACATATTTATGGGTTACAAAATTACAAAGGGAAATTATCAATTTTTTTTCGGAGTATATAACTTTCTCAATAAATTTCAACGTGGGCTCCATTGGTGGCACGACAAATATCCAGACGGTCCAGCATGTTTGTTGTTACCATAGCCACAGTGTCCCTTATGCGGGCTTTCAGGTGTTGTAGGTCGTTGAGCTTAACCAGGTATACAATGTTCTTCACATAACCCCACAAGATAAATCCACTGGGGTTAAATCTGGCGACCTAGGAGACCAAGCAATTGATCCATTTCTGCCGATCTATCTCCCAGCCATCACTCTGTCAAAGTGATTCCCTAACATGGCAGAAATGTGGCGGCGCATGCGCGTAAGCCGGGCATGGAAAATAAACTTACGGGGGTTTCCTTCCGATAACATAAACCGGATAGTGTATGACAATTATTTTCTGAGATATATTTTTTTTTATTTTCGATACCTTTCATCCGGACACCTGATATATGGGGGATAGCTGCAGTATCACTGTCTACGGGGCTGATGGCCTGGTTTCGAAATATGGAGATGCGCGTTCATTTCGCGCATACTGTCATAGTACATTGTACATCTGCAAGAGCGAAGGCAGAAGCTGGTCACCTCTCCCTGGGCTACCGCCTTAACATGGTGTCACCTGGAATGTCAGTTCTTGGTATGTTACTCAAGCTAGACAGGTCGAAGAATATGTGCCAGATGAAACGAAATATGGGATTGGGCGTGGGGATAACATCACACAAACGTCTAGAATCTAATGATGGATGCCAGATGAAGAATATGCACCTGCAGTAATCAAGGCCAAGTTCTTTGAGGAGTGCAAAGCCGGAGAATGAGTAAGTTAGTAAGGTCTTTTAGTCAAGGAAGAATGGATTACTCTAGTCTTATTACTCACAGTCGGCAAGCCAGTCCTCACTACAAACAACACAGAAAAATGTGTGGGTTCTGCAAGAACGCCCAAGCTGGAATGCATAGCACTTCAACAACGCGGTGATATCATTAATCAATTAGAAACTCTCTGATCACTGGAGGGCGTGTAGGACACATTCCTTGATCACAACATTCACTTGAATCCACCCCTTGACTATCTTACAATTTGCAACTCTTGCAAGACACCGCAGTGAAAGATTAAGTTCTGTTGGTGCAAAATTAACTCCCTCGGTGATCAGGGTAAGTAAAAGTCAAGAATTTATTTTCGTGGGGGGAAAGGATAGTAAGACATAATGTTCGTACATAACGAAGCGCCAATCTGCATACAATGAACATATTACACAATGGTGAAGTTCGCGTATTTTGTGCTGTTACTATTGACGAAGTGTATGGATCATTCTTCGCCACACGACCAATAACAAATAGCATGAGAACGTGCACAAAATAAACCCGAGGCGATGCATAATACGGAAACTGAACAGTGTCCAGTGCACCACCTCACCTGCCCCCCCCCCGCTCACCTTCTTCTTCACTGTTAACAATACCTAGCAGTCCAGACGTGACTGGTTAGGGGGCGGGACGGCTGAAGGATCGGAGTTCTAGTCCCAGTAAGGGTAAGATTTTTCTTCTTTCCACGTCGTCCAGACCCGCTCTGAGGCCCACCCAGCCTCCTATCCAATGGGTACCGGAAGATTTTTCCTCGGGTGTAAAGCGGCCAAGGCGTGAAGCTATCCACTCACCTCCAACTAGCACCGAGGTCAAGAATACGTGGATCTATACATCCACTACCGCATACTTCTTCATGGCGTAGTGCTTAATTAGTTAAGTACAGGCCCAATCTTGCCTTTCTTCTGGCAGTCCTGATATCTAGAAAGTCCTTCCCTTTACGTCATGCTGAAGTGGCGGCGTTGCTAACGGAATGCAATATACTGAAGTTGGCTTCCGGTTAGGGAACCGGAGACTACGTGGTACATGTGGAAGCTATATTCCTGCATTTTCACTTCCCCGTTCTCTGCACAGATCGCTGTAGTTTCATCTGACTCCAGGTGAAGTCCATCTACTGCACATCATACCTTGTTGGGCAACCTTACGGAACAAAGTCCTGTGTTTGAATCACCCACCGAAGTAGGTAGCACCTTTCTAATGACGACGTAACGGTCCAGGCCACTAACCTCCGTTCCCGCAGCAGATGGCTACACCGTTACATGGTTCCGGGCAGTGGCTGAGAAAAGACAAAAGCTGAAACGCGATGCACTTTCAGTAACACTCTCATCACTGGATAGAGAGACTGTGTTCACTCGAATTCATTCCCTCGACTCTCTTCTATCGGGATCCGGTAAAAGATCACGACTGTGTTCGAGCCATTACCAGCGAATATGGCAAATTTAAGGCAGCGACATTACGGCAAAACTTGACATAGGACTGAAAACATTATGATGCTTGCGGCGTTATTGATTAACTTTATTTTCCATTTTAATACACAATTCATGGGCCAGTCTGGCTTCCAGTCTCGTAAACTTCTGAATCCAGGAAGATCATTCTGAATGAATCACGAAATTTCGCATGAATAGCTGCTTCAAATTATATTGTTTCGGCCGTGGGGAGGATCGGTGGGGGAATATGAAATAGGTGGCCATAAACACAGAACTCTGCACAGTTTTGCACCGTCAGCCCCGACCTGAGTGCATATGCAGGCGGCAGGCCAGTCTGGATCCGTTCAAATCTTTCCAGACACTTCATTCGCAGTTTCTGACTCCCGTTTTTTTCCCTACCCAGAACCACTCTCGGATTGAAACACGCGGCGGTTTTTGTAACTGTGAGCTCGTTCGTTTTTCTTCTAAAAGGGGCATCTTTTATATTTTTTCCTTTTCACATGACCAACCCTTACCCAACTGGAACAATGTTGGGATCTATTCATTGATGGATTATAATTATTAACGTGCACAGTGGCACAACAATCAGCGAATACGCAACATCCCTGCTGGCAAGAATTGTGGGTCCACCCCCACCCAATTCAAGGCGGAGAGACTCTGGCCCAGACAAGTCCACTGACTTCTTGAATGTTTTCACCCACTCTGACAGGGGTTTCCTTAAAATTTTAAACCATTAACTTATTACTCGTATTGTTCCCATGGAGTAGAGTGTAAATTTGCAAGAAAAAAATTAATATAAAAAAACAGGGTTTAAACCTTGGTATATTAAATTCACGGTCTTTCACTTCCGGATCCTTGTCAAATGTTAGTAGCCGTGGGTTGGCTGTTCCGATCCGTCGCAGATATTAGCTATAGAATTCTCCGCAATGGTTCAAAGACAAACTCTATGTCCCGTTAATGAAACGCAGTTTTTTTTTTGTCTTACAAGAAACATTAAAATTAACGTACAAGCCACGAACTCATGAATTATGTAATAACGCTTATGAAACTGCTCGTTAAGATGGAGATGAAACTTCTAGTCTGTTCCATTTTACCGCCAACTTGAGAATAAAATTAGGTCCGCCATTTCCTCACAGCTGACGTCAAAACACAACTTAGAGCAGCGTTGAGCGATAAGCGTGGAATGAAGTAGACTTGTATGCATGCGTCTGTCTTATGTAATGACAAGTCACTTTTATGACAGCTGCAGAAGTGGAGTGGGGTCTGCCTCCCTTCTTACTACTCTACTTGGAACCAGCGTGTTTCCGACGTTTCGAAGGTTATTCAAAGGCGGAGGTTACACAGCGTCGAACGAAATCCGAAGGTGAATGGTGGTTAACTGACGGAGAGGATCGGCTGATCGTACGGAAATGAGGACGCTCTGCGTCTGACGATGAAAGAGGTGCAAGTGAGGCACAACTGCTCTAAGCCAAGGATCGCCAAACGTACACCCTTTTACAATACAATGATCGAAAATTCTTCATCTTCTTCAAGAGTGGGGCTGATCTGTTGCGACTCCAGTCTGATCTATCCAACTCTTTCCACGCATTTCTACACTTATCCTTCACGTCTATACT